AAGCGCATTGAAAGTAATGTAAACCATGCACATAATGCAGCCTTCATGGTCCAGAAAAAGTAGGACAGATCTGACAGACGCATTTGGAGCCTTTAGCCTCCAAATGCAACCTTTAAAGGCTGCAACCCCCCAATTGGGACACAGCTATTGTTATCCTGCTTTGTTGCAGGTTGTAATTGGACAAACTGAGTCCATAAGTCACTGCATCTGACAATAGATAGTTAAATCCCGAGGGGATATCTTGCCACATTTTAAGTCACAAACATATATCTGAAAATCAAATGGAAACCAGCAAAGCTCACTCTAACATTTCAGCTACACAGATACAATAGGACAATAGGATGAGCTTACTATGCCTCAGCAGGTAATTGTTTGTGCTGGATCTTCAGCTGTAGCTTGGGCACAGAACAGCTAACTTATACTGTCTTTCTTCTCGTACTCTCATGTGGCATTACTGACCAATACGCAGGCTGAACTTGACAACAGGCAAGACAAGAGAAGTGGAGTCTGACTTATGCTCGTAATAAACTGCTTTACAGTGTTTTAACTGCCTTATAATACATTGAGAGACACGGCTGTTCACTGGCTCATAATCTAACTATCTTGTTACCCTTGCTGCGATGCTGGCTATATCCTGTTGGTGAATTATTTCAAAGGTGTCATATTATAAGGGAATAAGGCAGGACTTTATTATCAAATTACTTTTAAAACTTGTTAGCTAAATTATAAATGGTACTTAAACAGAAATCTCAAAGCTGCTGCATAACAGAGTTAGAAATCTCACATAGCCAGGAGCTGGTAGGTGTCAAAACTCTTTAAGAAAGAAAAGTAGGATTGAAATTATGTAACGCTTAAAACAAACGCAGCTTATCCAGACTGATATCACTATAACAGAAGGTGTACTCTCATACACCGCAGCCAAAACCAACACAAAACTAGAGCTAAATCGCACATTGTGTCTGTTTGTATGTCCATACGTGGTGCTTTCAGTCCTATGAAGTCCCTGCACAGGTGTTTGGAGTTATTTTAGTGCAGTTGATCTCTGCTGGGTGGACCTTTAGTGTGAATTTTGTGAGGTCCCCAAACTGGGTGTACTAATATTCATAAAGGTGTAAATTGACTGACCCTAACAGGTGCAATAAAACTGACAGCAGAGTGAGAGAGATGTCAGCTGAGCACTCGTCTGCTCACACCCACACAGTCCTCAGGCGAGCTTTAATCAGCCAAAATGTGAATGTGAAAAAACACCTGGGTGGACCAGAGGCATATAAGGGCTTTAATGTTAGCGGACCAGCTGCAGTAACTCAAATTTCAGAATAACAATTCCTGTTGTGTTTTGTGTCCTGTGGGTTTTGATTTGACATGAATGCAGCATTCTTCAGAGTCAAATCAAGAATTTTTTGAGTGCTTTTGAATACAGAGTAGGGAGGTTTTGTTCAGCCACAACTGCAGTACAGCACAAGGATGAGTAACACTGACAAACAAAGCCCCTGTGAATTGTGACATTGCAGATCAACATCTCAAATGTGTTTCTGGGAGTTGATTCAGATAATAGATTTAATTTGACAGGCATCAACGGCTCCATGTAGCCAAGTAGCAATGCAAAATACTCATGCAGGTCACTAATTTTCTAGTTAAGTCAAGTAAACGCTAAGAAACTAACCAACTCTGAAAACCTCTTTCAATAAATGTTCTGCATTATTAAGTACAGAGCTAACAGCAAATGTTAGCGAGAGCTCCTCTCTTTCTCAGAATGGAAAGCTTAGCATTCAATATGCTTTATACACAAGCTTCCTCACTTTCTTACCTTTTTCCGTTCCCTTCACAGCGTGGAACAGCTGAACAGTGAGGAGGCCTGTTGTGTCTGAAAAGCCCAAGGATGGTGCATGACACCTAATCGGCCATCCTATTCAGCATCTACCGTTTTTTGTCAGACAGACGGGTTTCACACAACACCAAACTGTGTCCTGATTCAATAAAGCGTCTATCGATTCTAAAAGGCTGCCCATGTTTCTATACTCTCTGTCTGCTGATCATTTTCTCCCTCTGCCTCACCTTTAAATATTCCATCTTATTTGTGATGGCAGACAAAAGCACTTAAAGGGTGAAGCTTTTTAGACGCAGGACTTTTGAGCATATGACAGAGCGCATTAGCTTTCCCACTTTATGCAGATACTGGCCCACTTTGTCACTAAAAAGGCGTGCAGAGGACTATTTTTGCACAATTCAAAGTGTGGAAAGTGTGTCATGACCCAGTAACACAAAGTGAAACCTGTGTGAAGTCCTGCCGGATCAGTCCCTCATGCTATATCCCTCTCATGGCGTGAAACATCAATCGTGATTGACAGATTGTCGTGCATTTGAACTGCTCCCGAAGGAGAATGCCATAAGTAACACCTTTTTAACAAGCACTCAAAATAAAACGTCTGTGTAGTCTGGATTTTTTCTGTCAGACAGGGTCAATAAAGGGAGTGTTAATTCCTGTGGGTCTGAATAAAAACTAAATGCAGTCAGCAGTGTCATACGGCTCTGCAAAAGGGAGCAGAACAATGTTTAAAGGACAGCGTTTTTGCAAAAGGCTCCCAGACTGCCCTGTCAAGTCTGTCTTCAGACACAAAGGGAAAATAAATTGTGAAAGTGCCGTTGCTTCAACACATGAATATCTTACAGTGCTACTTGGAATCCAAATTAAGGAAATCATTACCAAATAGTAAAAGATGGCATTAAGATTTATTTCTCTGTCGCTGTGCTCAGCAGAAATTTAACAACACAATAATCAATTCAGTTAACCAGTTTTTCATTTCAAGTGTTTTCATGAGGGTAGCGGTGTTATATCCTTTGACTGGCTGTATTTTTAGTTTAGTCATATAATAGCTCAATTTTCTACGTGAAGAGAAATGGTGCTTTTCAAACCGTCCCACACTGAAGTGAAGATTAAAACCTATAACAAAGACCGATTATTTATAGGCTGTATTTCTTTGGAACTTCAGAGGTAGGGTTGTAAAGACCTGGCATGACTAACAGACATTGGCTAATCGGCTAACATTACACTACATTACAAGCTTAAAATCTGCTTATAAAATCAGTTGAACTTGTGCTTTTTAAGCTATTAAATATCAGCTCTCTCAATGCATTGTGGTCTTAAACTTGTAAAAGGATGATGAAGCTTTAAAATGGACAAAAGGGCAAATGGTCTGACATTGTGGGAAATGTGATAAATTGCCTTCTTGTTGATAAATAGATGAAAATCTGATACAGATTTAATGTCTGTATATGCTAAAATATGTAAAGCTAGCAGGCGGTTGATCTGGAAGAAAACCTGAAAACATTGGTATTTTATCATCACCTGACACCCACAACAGCATCTCTGTACATTATACTTCAGGGAAAGACTTAAGATATGCTGCGTTAATTGGTGAGCATGGAAGTGCCGGAGGTGCTGAAAAAGTGTTGTTTTTCTATGTTTACTGTCTTTGTGATGAGCTAAGTTATGCTTGGGTAACACTGTTGAAAAGTTGTTCTGCGTGTTTCACCTCACCTACAGACATGGGAGTCATGTTTTCATGTTTTCACTCAAGAATCATGAGAAATTCAAGTCTTAAAGTTAAAACATTAAAGTAATATTGTTACAAAAATAATAGTTATATTATGGGAAAGAGCCGTGATATAGCTTTAGTTACAGGTAACAGTGAGCAGTCTGCACCAAATTAAGGAAAATGGAGCATCTCTTTATACGTAATGTTTTGGCGCCTGAGCACCACATTATCTTTAAGTATCAGGATTTTGAACTGGTTGTACAACAAGCTGAGACATGTGCTGTTCCACTTCAAAACAGCAATATGTGGGTTAGTACTGGACTAAATCAATGTCTTTATATTTTCATAAACAAATTATTTAATCTTATAATGTAACATAACAGCTGTATTCTCTTAATACTCTGACTTTATTCTTGTGAGATTATGAACTCCCTATGACTTGATTTACACAAGAAAATGACAAAAAATAGTTTTTAGACTTTAAAAATTTCATTTTATGTGATCCAATCCTGGAAAATAACTTTTGGGCAAAGAAATGGTCATTGATAGTCGTCTTTATGTAGATTTTATTGTTGTAGTAGCTGCATGTATATTTAGGTGTGGGTTACCCTTTTTGTAACAAATCAATTTGTGACAGTTTAAAGTATATTTTCTGCTTTATAATATAAACAGTGACACAGCTTGAGCTTTTTCCCACTGCTTGGCATGCACTTGCAGGAACAAAAGCACTCACACGCATCTACAAGCCTGATTTATCATTGTTCTCAGACATAACCACTTGTGCCACCTTTGACTGACATTAATAAATTGTTCCATTACACAAACAGGAACAGAAAGTGGGCACGTAATTCAGCAGAAAACAATGAGTAAATGAATATTTACAGTCTTGGGTCTGAGCACACTGAAGAATACATCACATCAGATCCTGCCTGATACCAGCATTTTGTTAATTTTTAAATATTTCTTAAAGAGGGAGCATGTGAAAGGGTGAGAGGGCCAAAATGGACGAGCAAAAGTGAGGGAGCGTGAAGTGGAGGGACAAACAAAAACTTCATTTGGACATCCGCCACAGTGTAACTCAGTTTAACAAGCAAAGTGTGAACAAAAGAGCAGACTGGAGTCTCTGTTAAAAGAGTGATGCTGTCTTATTCAAACAGCTCCAACATGCTCAGAGTGTGTTCTCATCTGTTTACAATGGATGCAAGAGAGAGAGAGAGAGAGAGAGAGAGAGAGAGAGAGAGAGAGAATGTTACTGAAAAATACTTATTTGAATTTACTGACAGAAGAAGTTATTACGACATCAAGTAGACTGACAGTTGTTCACTCCTCCACTTATGACTGTCATGTGGCGCCGCTGGAATCACGCCAAAACAGTTCTGTGGTTGACAATCATCCCTGTAAAGCCAAATAATCTCATGGTCAAAGTTTCAATTCAAAGCAGAGGATACTTTATTTCAAACAAGTGACCTGCACATGAGTGGGAATCAATGCACACTCAACACACGCTGCTTATGTTAGTGTTGTGTCACAGGATGTGGACTATTATGAACAAATCCACTTTTAAAGAATTAAAAAAAGAAAAATATGTATTAGTGTTTGACATCTACAAATCCCATAGAAAGGTCTACACTCAGTCTCAGCATGGACATGGATATCCATCTACTGTCATAAGAGTTATTCCTGACAACACAGTGAAAAACATCCTTTTGATCAAGAATCAAACCTTTTAAGTTGATTAAAGACTTTTTATTAGCCTTGTGTAATCTGTTTTATCTTGTCATGACTTAATAACTCAGTGTGACAAAGAGGATGTGAAAAGAGGATGGCAGTCTTCACACAACAAGCAACAACATTGCTCTTTAAAACTTCACGGTGACCCCTTTAAAGATCAGCAAGATCAGGCATGTGAAGAATAATGAGCTTTTATTTTATTTTTACCGCAAGATGTGGTTATAAAAACAGCTGAATCGTTGTATGCTGTAAACAAACAAAGATTAGGTTTTACAAACAACATCAAAAAACTTTCAAAGGATGAAAATAACTCATTAATATTTTAAGAAACAGTGATAAACTGCCTTTCAGCTAAAACAAAGGTGAGAAAATGATAACACTTTAATAACTGTACGCCAATTTTAGATCTAAAGAAGCACGTTAGCTTAGACTGGAGATGCTAACAGCTAGCTGTTTTCCTCTTTTAACCTCACACCCATAACAACAACTCTTACAACTCTTGAATACCTAATGAAAGAAATAAAATATGACGTGTTAGCTGGCAGCATAAAAAAGGCGTGTACAATAGTGTTTCACCACATTTCCTGTCTTTGTGTTAAAGTGGGCTAGCACACATACGCCTGAAGCTTCACAGCCTATTTAGCAAATACACAGACATGAGAGCGGCGTCAATGTCAGTTTACTCTTCAACTCTTGACAATAGAGTAAAAAAATATCCTTTGAATCAAGATTCACACCAATTAAATGGATAAATGGCTCTTCATGTTTTATTTTTGTCATGTTTCATGTTTTGTCAAGACACTTGGTAGCTTGGTGCAATGTACAGTACATTTATGGGGTGATACAGGAGCTTGTGTGAGGATGACAGTCCGCAGACCAGTACAGCACACTCAAACTGTTTTGTACAAAAACGAACGTACGCTTTAATGAATAACTGAGTGAATTAATTCACAGTTTATGTTACACAAACAGAGTCTCAAAGTGTCGCCTCTTTAACATTAAACTCAGAGGCGTTGAATTTACATTACCTAATTGGGTGCAGTTTTAGCTTTTAATGTGCAAGTTTGTTTCCTACGCTTTAAACAAATATGCAAATAAACTTAGAAGCAGCATTTTAATATTGTTGCCCTTAAGGCATGCGTGCTGTGTTCAATGACATCGCGAGGTTCAAACAAAAACTGCAGCCTCAATATTGTTTGTGTGTTGTGTTCACTATTGTTTCCCCACCAACAGTTCTCAGCCAAGTGGAACCATCTCTTATAGCATTTGGTGGAGGTGGAAGACAAGCTCTTAATCGGCTGTGTTATTGAATTATTGAATTAAAAGCTTAAGTACTCAGGGTGAGCATGTCAATTTTTCACAACTGAATGGTACACTGCTCATTCCATTTTCATCTGAATAGATCATTTGTGTATGTAAAATGTAGAAGAATGGAGGTATTACACAGATCAGTTTCATTGTCTGTAATTCCCTTTCACTGTGGCTGTAATCATTTTGAGAGACAAGTCATATTCATCTAACACTGCATGCTAGTCCTTAATCTGCATTCAGCTCCCCTCAACAACATGGCACTTTTTTTTTGTCAAGCAGCTGCACAGTAGCACGGTGTTAATTAAGAAAGGGTTTGCATCCAAGCAGATTTCTCATTATTATTGCAAAAGTGGAAGTTTAACCTGTTTTCTGTCTCTGTGATGTAAAACAATGATATAGTGTAAAAATTTGACAGAGTAAGTGTCGCAGCAAATGGTTCAACCCTTTTCTACTTGACATTCTGCTCACCTGTCTTCATCCCCCGTGTTCTGAAACCCTGGGACTGATACAGATAAAATGATGTGATGTTTCTGTCTGTATTTCAATGGGATGAGTTGCTGTGACCCACGCAATCTCCCTCTCAAAGAGTATTTCAACTTATGCAGATGAGCTCATCAGAGCTGCCTGCTGAGATGAGACATCTAGGTCTGGAATTGTGTCAATACCAGCACCAAAACAAATGCAAATCAAAATCCAAATTAATGTGTTTTCCCCGAGGAGAAACTGAGTCGTACTTATAGTCAGCTCTCAGTAGATGACAGGATTCTGTTATCCAAAGCTCATGAAAAACAAGGCGTTCTCAAACTGCTCACCGAGCTGGGGTACAAAAGTCAGCGTCTCCAGATGGGGAAACTAAACTAAACTAAGCAAAAAGAAACAGGAATTTTTTTTGTGTGATTGTTTTACAGATGAAAAACAGAAAGCAATCCTACATATGCATTATCCCTAGGTTTAGAGATCTACCTCTGTAAACGTACACCCATGTTTACACTTAATCTTTCTATATAGACAGTGTCAAGCAGATATAGAAGATACTGCTTGGATCTTGATTTGAGTCTCCTACTCTGGTCACAGCATCACTTGGGCTCTCAACTCGGCTTGAATGGAAGAGAAGCAGCCATGTTGAACATAAAATACTGATAATGTTTGGAAGGAAATAAAGAAATAGACGTATTGCTGTAATTAAGGCTGTTTTAATGTCTCCGGACCATGGCCTTATGTCCCTGCACCTACCCTTTCTGCATCTGAATGAACAGTAAATACTGCACACTGCATATAAAGAGGAGATTTGCACATACACTTCTGTAAATCTCATTAGGGCTGAAGAAGATGATGTACATTTTCGCTCCTCTGTGGAAAAGCGATGGAATCCCTCGTGTTAAACACCAAAGTCTCATAACCTTGAAATCTCCTCAGTGAAGATACAGTGTTTGTATTTGCTGTATTATTCTCCTTTTTACTTGTGATAACCTTTAATGCACTATTTGTTCAATCGTTTGCTGCTCCAGTGACCCACTTCTCCCCCACAGGGATCATTAAAATTTCATTTTAACTAATCAAAGAATTCATCGCTGAAAAGTCCTTGCTTTTAGCGGCTGAATGTTAACTTTCATTTTTGTTACATTTATGTCTTGTCATTTGTCAGACACACTCATGAATACACTACAATCACAAATCGACATTAAGTGACAGCCGCTCTGATGACTGTGAATTTGAGAGAGAGCAAAAAGCATGAGTTATTTATAAAATGTAAGTAAGCATTGAGCAGAGGAAGTCATCTTGTGTTGGGTGCACTAACACAGTGCCTGATTTTATTGGAGTTTTTAAATAGAAATAGCTGTGTAAAATGTGGATTGTGACTTACTTCTGAAGTTCCCCTAAGAAGGATCTAGACTACTGCTAGATAACATGTGCTGGTATACAGTTTACAGCTAACGTTGGCACATTTGATGAGTCGCTAGTGGCTTTTGTCATTAACACGTATTAAGCACCTTGTAGACATTAATGCACTTCTCTCACATAAACACATGACAGCTTTAGCTGCAGTTGTCACCACTCAAAAATAATTGCCTTCCATGAGCACAGTGTATACAAATTTAATAAAATACACAACAAGTACAGTAGCCCACATTCACGTGTAAGCTCAGCTTATTTTCACATAAACCGCAGAGGACGACAATAAAATTACAAATACATTCTTAAAAAACTGTTTTTAGAGGAACCTTCAATGGTTTTATGAAAAGGGGACATTCCCTGTTGCACCACCATTAACAGTTCATAAGACACTTCACTTTTTGTATTTAACGTCACTGATATGTATTTCAGTTGCTTGTGATATTCAAAGAGATGTTCCTTAAACACTAAATGGAGACAGAGAGCTTCACTGTACAAAAGCAGACAGGACTCAATAGCTTAACAGTAGCAATTTCTTCAACAGCCTCACAAAATTGGAGCTTGAAATGTGTAAAATACAGACATCTAAATTGACAGGTACAGTACACCGTGGAAACACTTGAAGTCAGGTAAGCATTGATTTTTCCCCCCAAACCTTCACAGCAGTCAAGGACACATATTTCACCTAAACACAACAAGTCACGAACTGAAAAAAAACATACAAAGCGGATGGTTTTTGGTTATACAATGCGTGTCTGGAAACCTCTGTGGGTGAAAAATAAACCACCTCCTGGCCATTAATCTGTGATATCATCATCACACCTCTGGCAGGTGAGAGTAGCGAGCAAGTGAGCGGGGATCATGTGACCTGTCAGTTGCCAGAGTCCCGCGGGTCGAGGGCACAATCTGACCCCCCGCACTCCTGGCTGATGACGGAGCTGTGAATGAGACTGCTTGACAGGGACTTAGGCCTGAGCTCACAGGTCAGGTAGGAGGGCTCCTCCAATTCGGTGTGCAGCGGGGAGCACTGGCCATCTGGAGGGCCATAGGCACTGCTGTCTGAGCCCCCCTCCCTCTCCTCTTTGGACTCTTGGCTGGCCAAGTCCAGGGGCAAACTACTCTTGGTGGGGCTACTGGACGCAGATGGACTCTCCTGTAGCGGTGGGCTTAGCGCACGCTGTGATTTTAAGTAAGGTTTGACATTGGCCACGAGGATTGTACTGTCCCGCTGCTCCTTTCCAAACGTGCTGAGGGTTTTTCTGCTGCTGCAGCTGATGGTGCCATAAATCTCTGTCTCTACCATGGCATCCATTCCCACAGGGATGAAAAGGTTGGTGCGATTATCGGCGCTGTCTGCTTGGCTTCCTACCCGTAACTTTGGCATCCAGCATCTGTCAGAATGTCCCAGTGCACGACATTCATCGGTGCAGTGGACTGATTTGTCTTGCTCTGCAAAAACAGTTAAACATTTGTTATTGGACCCTGCTGGGGTACGAATAAACAACCCAGAAGAGAAAGTAGATGACATTTTGAAGAATGAGCAACAATAATAAAGCACTCTAACAAAAACAAATTATTACAGTATTCTTCGAATTCTACAACCAAATAAATAAATCTTTCCTTATTTGGGTTATGAAGTTTGTTCTTTAGAGGCTTTTAGACTGAAAACTAAACTGGCTGCGTCTTGTAATAGCTAAAAGAGTTCATTAAAGCATTGTTTTTATTTACCAAACTACAGGCTTTTCTATTTCAGTAGTAGCAAACAAACATATTCATTAAATGCAACCTGAAATAATGTCATGCAGAAGAAAAAAAAAACACTGCAGAAACGTTAAATTTGCTTTCAGCTGTTCAACATATATAGCCACTGACTAATTAATCCTATCCATGAACAGCTCCCCTCTGCTATCTTCAATAACCTGTGTAGGTGTTTCCTGGAAAATATCATCTGGTGCAGAGGAAGTGATGTGTGTTTCATTTACATTCTCAGCAGTATCACTTTGTGTGTAGCACACACAGAAAAACACCTGTGGAATTTGCATGAATTCATGGTTTCTGATCAGAAAATGTTAGAAACTGTTGATAGTGCTGGTTATTTTTACGTGTTTCTTAGATATTAATGTCAAAGTTTGATGTGTGTAGAAATCAGGGGCGTGTCCACACTTTATGGCTTTTTATGGGGTCACTGGCCTTGGCAGGGGTGTCCAGGATCTGTGCACACACCGATTAAAAGCATTTACAATCTCTGTCTTCACTTCCTACTTTGACTACAATCATTCAGAGTTCTGTCACATCATACTGTATATGATCATATCAGTACTATTTAAGCTCCCTGACCAAAGATCAGTGCCTCCCCGTCGTTCCCTCCTCTCCAAGTTTTGATGTTGGCTCATAACAGCAACCCTAAATGGGCGTGCCCTCTATCACTTTGGGTCTGTTTGGGGCTTTACATCCCCTGCGTGTTGGAATAGCTTGACTTGGTTTGACTTGAGCGGAGCATGGCAGAGATTAATATCACCACTAATATGGGACTTGAAGGTGCGTTTTAACTGAGGACTACTCAGTCTAAAGTGAGATGAATAAACGCAGCAGGAAAAGAAGTGGCCTGTAGCTGGGACTCAAAGTCAAAGAAGCGACTGCAAAAAGTGTAACCCTCAAAGGTGTTATTGAAAACGCAGCTGAATGTGTAGCTTTGGGATGATTAATGTAACACATATTATTTCTGACGAGTACATCACAATGAAAGTCCTTGCTTATTATGTATTTGAAGGGCGTTTTTCTGAAACAGCAACATCAAAAATGGGATGCAGAAGGAAATTAATACCACAAGTTACCCAGTAAAAAAGGAAGGCAATGTAGGGAGACAGAATCAACTTCAGACCTCACAGATTTAGTAAAAATCTACAACATTGAGAACTGAAAGCGCACTATCTAGGTTTTCAGCAGCAACCGATGAGCCTAAAAAGACTCTCTTCATACAAGCCAACATAATTCTTGAATAATACAACAACTCTCTGTCTTTGAGTTACGGTGTAGTCGTAGCTAAATCAGCTATAGAGAACATGGGGAACATAAAGAACACGCATAAAATCAACAAAAATAGACATTTTGACTGTTTGTAAGTGGACATAGAAACACAACAGAGTCACCTCATATCCACATTTCGTGAGGAAGATGTTCATCTAACATTTAATTTCCATAAACAAACAAAGAAGACATGCTTCCCTTCAAGACAAAGAGAAACTAACAAGCACCCTGCTGTAAAACAGTCCAAATAATTGAATTTAACAAAAGTCCTCCAACAAGGCAAAAAGCCTTGGCTGTTATTTGGGGGAGACACCAAGGGTGGCCAATTAAATTAAGGGGGGCAGTGCCTGCCCGCCCCTCTTGACACACCCCTGGCAGAAATGTCTAAAAATAACCGCAAGGCATCTAAAAAGTAAAGAATCAAGGTGAAACTGGAGTCTGGCAACACCTTCATGAGCACAAAAATTCATTAGTCTGACCTTAAGTAATTTTTCTAATCACTTTGAAGTACTCTGGTGCGTTCTCAGCACCTCATTTGCATTGGCGGCCCATTTTGCATTTCACTTTCTATTAGTGGGTATACATTGTGACCTGCCCTTGCCACAAGAGGATCTTGTTTACTGTAATTTGTGGTCAACAGTTTCTTCCAGCACCGAGAAACACAGCTACTTGTGGATGTGTGGAAACATAAAGGAAAACCAATTAAGCAGGTTTGCTTCTTTGCACAAAATCTGCATATGCTCTGGAGGAAAATGGCAAAACTGATCAACAATGAGCTTTAAATATCACCACTGTAGCGTGTAAGGATTGGGACAGAGGTGGTTGTTTGTCATCTGATGCAATAAAGGCATGTAACATTACCTCTTGATGACATATTGTTGACTGACTTTGTTCTCTGATTATTTCATGACTGTGGCAGCCAGAGTTGCTTTAATTGATGCTGAACACTGAGCCAAACGCCACAGGACTGTACAACATGTGCAAGTGACTGTGTACTAGTGTCGGGCGCAAAAAAAAAAAGAAAGTGGAGCAACGCATAAGAATCTATCTCTGCAGCGTTACTCAGTCTTTTACATTTCACACCACATCCACCCTGGACATGAAGTAAGCACACAGGGAGCGACACATAGAATGAGCCAATTTCCATGGTGTTATGATGCAGAAGGTTCCTCTTTTTTTCTGCAGCCATTACACTCCGCTAACAAAATTAATTTGACACTGATGCATGCAGTGTATTTTGCATGCAGTGGCATGAAGCAAAATGTCAAACATGTCCTTATAAATTGGGGGTAAATGACAGTTTTCCTTCATTATTCATGTTGTACATGAAAGCAGAGTACCAATGTCATTTGTTAAAGTACAAATTTAATCTTGCTGATGTTCTGACGACTGATCTCACTTTAATATAACAAATTTGTTTGCTTTACTGCCACTGCTTCTGGATCCTAATGTAATCCTTTGCAATGAAAATGTAAACCTAATGAAATATCGCCCCCGAATGAGTCAGAATTTGGCCATTTTTGACAAAATATTCCAGCTTTAAGAAATGAATGAAAGGCAGCGGTCGCATCTTTCTCTTCCTTATAAGTGTCTCCCTTTAGAGTGAAATATCAAGGCAGGAAGTATATGGAAGCGAATCTCAAATTTCAATGCAATCATGTCCCCTTTTTTCCCTCTTAAATCAATCTCTTAATTCAGCAAAACTCAACCTTGAACCTGTTGTTTCTGGGAGTAAACACAGTGTTACAGCCTATTACAATATGGCTTTATACTCCACTAATCAGCTCTCATAACTTTACTCTATTAATAAGGCCTCTCTATTTGCTCACAAGCCATTCAGCGATATCAAAGAGTGACTAGCTGTGAATGAGGCACTTGATCTCGTTTTGAAACTTGGCCCTGATGAGGATGAGAATATTAGCCTGGAACAAGGGGAAGCTCCACGAGACGCAATTCTTTCCTAGAAGAGGTGGGGAGATCCTCTCGTTCAAAGGAGACAGAAACCTTCTTCTGCGCTCACCAGCCTCGGCAAGTTTGCTGGAGGATGCGTGAATCCAAGGGGGAGGTTCAAACAAAAGAAAGGCGAAGAAAAAAAACACACACACACACAAGATACCGTCTCTGCTCCTCAGCCCCAAAGACATTCGAGAACTAGAACCACACAAGCAACGCGTTCGCAAAGTACACGCCACCGGAATCACACACTGCTGCTCAAGTCCATGAACACCCACCGAAGACACCCACACACACACTGCAAGACTTCGGACATAATGGAAGTGTTAATTATTCTTTGACTACATGGAGATATAACACGTTGAAAAGGGCTGTTCATTTTATACCGTGGCTGTTAAAGGTTTTATGAACGAGGAAAACAAAGAGGATTTTTGACTTCGAAAACAATATACAGACTCACAAAGATAATCCCTCGCAAGCATAACTCCTGACCCTGTTGAAGTGTGTGGCTGTTTTTTTTTATCACCAGTGACCCTGCCCCTCTGCCTGCGTTTTCTCATTTCGCTGCGTCTGGGCATCAAATTTTGGGCCAATAACAGTGCCCAGAGTTTGGGGACAAGGCTCTCAGAGAAAATATAAAAAGTAGGTGCCAGATTGTTAAGATTCGTCCAAGAGGAAGCTGACGCGTCTTTGAGGAGGAGAGTTGATGCCAAATCTAAATAGTGTGTAGGAAACTCGAATTTATTCTGCCACTAAAAAAGGAAAAATCTAGATTTTACGAGATAAATGGATCAAATGAGAAAATCAAACACACTATTCAGTAATCTGCTCTGTGTATCTAAGAAATTGTGAAGTCATTTCTTATTGTCAATAGCAACAGTCACTATAACTATACAACTATACAACAGGTATTGAATCACACATCCTTTTCTTATATTGTTTTATTTCTTGAAATTAATCATTAAATACTAAAGATTTTTCTTTTTCCTTTTTGTGTAAGGTGTGCTTGGTCTTAGTCTGATTATGATATTAGAGCTGTATCAGCTTTGCTTTTTGTCCCACTCTTTGAGAAATTACTGCTAGGCAGAGTTTTAATAGTTTAAAACTGGAATTGATCTTAACATAGGACATAAGTAGATCCTTTGTGACTCTCAGGCAGGTCAGGTTTCAGGTAGCCAGAAAAAAAGCATAACTAGGATTACAAGTTTTGATATTTCTTTCAATAACATACTGGCTACAGGAATTTGCAGTGCGACATACAGTGAAGCTCTTGTGAAGAATTTCCAGCTTGTTAAAAAACTGAGTGAAATGAACTTTAGCATCTATATGTGAGGAAATAAAACCATCAGCAAAAAAAAGTGATAAGTTCTATACAGATATTTTAAAGGCCTGAAACTGCTGCTGAGTGGTGAATGGCAGAGGAAGTGATTTATAGTAGCCTGCAGAAAGAGCAGTTTTGTGCTTTAATATGAAAAAGATATACAGAGAGCGATGTGTTTGACTTTCTTGAAAGACAGAGAGATAGGTTAGAAAACACCCCCAACTCACGAGGGTGGATTGAGGTGATGACCATGCACAACTTTGAAATTCAGTCCGCCACCAGGGGGCTCCCCCAAAAACTTAAACTATAATTGGTTATCTGCGATGTCAGAGGTGGGTCTTAAGTAAAAATCAACTTTTTAGGGCTGTGCTCCAACAGGCTGCTGGGGGCTTTCTTTGAATTTCATTTTGTCATGTAATAAATCCTTTGGTTAGTACTTTAATTTGTGATTTTAGACAAACATTTTCTCATATCCTTACAGATTTAAAAAGGGTGACCACTGGAGCATCAGACATACTGAATGCCACCCCTGCAAAAGTCAGTGCCTCAGTTAGGCCACCCCGGCTAAAGAGTCTGGACACATCCCTGCTTACACTTGTATAAGAAACAAACCGCAAAAAGCGCACTGTAAGCATAGGCTATTATTACACCAGAATTATCCTCACAAACTGAGAGTCCCTCACAGGAAAATCGACAGCAGGTTGTCGTGGGCCATTTTCAGCCAGGTTTCTAAGACACATGTCATTTCTAAGTTCCATACACTGACTGTCTCCCCTGTCATGTTGCGTAGCATGTGAACTTACATAGTCTATTCAAAGCACAGACCGATCTTGTGCTGTCTTGTCAGGACTAAGATCAAGAGAAAATACACATTTGGGTTCAAAATGCATTTTACATCAAAAGAGAAAAACTAAATGATGGCTTTGATTTGGCAAAACCCCAACACAGATCCTGCATATTACAAGTCCTAGTCTTTGAAGCATCTACACCCAAAGATTACAGTTCTGTAGCCGGTGCGTTTTTCTCTTTTTTTGTGTGTGTGTGTGTAACTCCATCTTTCTCCTGGCTCCATCCAGAAAAGTATTTTCTGAGACACAGATACACGAGGCCAGAACAATGAGCATAAGCAGGGAGAAGCAGGGAGATGCTGAATTCATTTCCATGGTACCTATCACTGTGGAGGAGCTAGCAGATGATGCTAATGTAAAGGGATGTATGTGCTTAGAAGGTTCAGAGGAAACACAGAGAGGTATTTTAGTCATTGTCCTATATGTCTGGGGATAAATCAAAAGCAATTTAAGGATCATGTCTGCATGTTTTTGTAATATTCAATACCTAATGCCTACATGAGAAAAAGATTTTTATTTCGTTTCCTGCCACAGTCCTACCTTTGTGATCAAAACCTGTAATATTTCGATGACACTCTGGATAAAAAAAGATGGTGACTCCATGTACCAATCTTGACCAAATCAAGGTATCACTGAGCCATCAGTGGCTTTATGATTAAAATGCAGGGAAACGAAGATGAGGTAGTAAGGGGGCTTTCATCTATTGTGTGAGCCATTGGCTTTCTATTTCCATTTTCCATTTCATCACTGAATAAAAAACGGTTAAATAATAGCTCTAAAATTACTGAGTTATACAATGGCTTTATGTAGTTTACTGCATCGACATAGTCACATAATAGAATCATGACAAAGTGACAGAGTAGCTGTGATCTTATGGGCATCTGTGAATGGAACAATAACATGTTCTCAAAAAAACAAAGAGACGGCCTGCCCATTATAAATAGAATCAGAGAAAGCCTAGCAACATACCCACTGTGCATCTGGTGTCTGTGAGAGCGAATAAATATTCAGTGTGCATGATAGTGGAAGCTGCACAGGTGCATATATTACCTGTATCAAAGCAGCCGAGAGACTAGAGGGATGGTAAAGGTAAAGACATAAAAGCATTACTACTTAACCCACAAGCTTCTGTGTTGGTGCATTTGGAACAGAAAATTCTGCGGTGGCTCCATTTTGGGTAATATTGCGATCGTGTCTGAATCTGAAAAACAGTGGCTTTGTTGCTCAATAAATGTACCTGTGTGTGTGTGTGTATGTGTGTGTGTGTGAGTGAGAGAGAGCAGGAGACAGAGGAGTGTGTGGGTTGGAGGGTGATGTGTTTGTGTGATCAGGTCTGAGGCGTTGTGCATAATGTAGATCTTCCATCTTGTACAGTGACACCGTTTAATCTTCAACTGACCAACCCCGAGAGAGAAAACCATTAAGAGCAACACTGCTTTTTTTTTTTTTTTTGCTTCTTAGCTAAATTTCCCAGGAAAAGGGTGTTAATATTAGAAGCAGAGTCTCATTTCTTTCCCTTCCTTTTATCTAACAAATGCAGGTCTATAAATTAACTGACACCACTGTCAAAGTGAGCGTCAGCGCGGCAGACATGTAAATATTCTGTCCCCCATGTTCAAAACATTGCTTTCAGCGCCCGTCCGATTGATTGGCCTTAGAACTTTCCCTGAATCAAATTCAAGAAATGTGCTGCAAAAGAAAAAAAAATTGTGATTGAATTTACACCTCCCACGGAGTCAAGTTTGGTCTGCCATAATTTCTCATAGCACACTGAGGCAAAAACACACACTCGCAAACGCACAAAAGTGAGATAGATAGAGGGAGAGAGAGATTCACACATCCTACTGGCAGACGCAGGAGTGTTTCCATCCCTGCCCTCCTGAGCATGCCTCAAACAAACAGTTCAGAGCAATGTAAATGGTGTGGAAAGTGCTGCATGGGGACCTTATGACCAGAGACATTCTCCTCCAAGCCTCGCACAAGGAAATGAGAAACATCACAACTCCACTCAAGTCGCTCCATTGTCTTTTATCTTACCAGGGGAGAGTTGCTTTCATATTTTCAGTTTATGTCCACAACAGCTAAATATATCAGCTCCTATCAGGTCAGCCAGGTTGAACAGACTGACAATCGTCTATGATTACACTTCTGGCAGTGCACATCGTTTCACATTTGTGAAATAAAATTTAACATTTCTATTTTCAGTCCTAAAGCAAGAGCTCCTCTGAAAACATTGTAACCGCAGCAAAACCGATAATAACTGAGAAAACCTCTCCCTGCAAAAGGTGGAAACAGTCTGTCATGTTGAACCAGAAATACCTGTCATTTTGCACCGCAAGTGTCTATCATGCTTTTCTTGTCTCTGTCATTTTATTCAAGACATGCATGCAGTGAATCTGTGTTCAAATAATGACGTGATCAAAAGAGACACAGACTGGGGTGCACTTTGCCATGCATATGAGTTTGTTTGATGGCAATGTCAGGCAGAAGATGTTTGAACATTTTACCTTCAGCCAATGGACTCTTTTATCCTTTTAAACTACCATCTACCTTCCACTCTGCTGCCTTCATGTCATCTTTGCAACACAGCTCAGGCTGTCTGCAATGTAAAGCGCTGCAATATAACTCGAGCTTGAAGAAGCAGTTAGATTTTACCTCGACCGTGTTAAATATTTGTCTGTGCGCTTTAACCAGGGACTGCTGGACTTTCGCTTTAACACCAGTGTGCAGTATGCATGTTTTCAGTGAATAAACTACAGACAATGTCTAGTGCAGGAGTCAGTCGTAGGCATCTTCAAGATGTCAGGAATAGAGTGCATCCACTCACCCTGCTCAAAGGGCTGGCCATTAACTGCTGTTGCTTTCATCTTGAGGGCCTCCCTTGCAGACGTGTCGCAGTGTGAGCCTTTATTAGTATCCTGGTCACTATCAGCCTGGTCACTATCACCATGGCCACTGTCTCGGAGGCTTGCTCGTTCTGCATCCTTAAATGTTGAGCTGCAGCAGAATAGAAGGAAGGGGGGAGAAAAAAACATGACTTGCCATTACCTCTGCGTGAGCGCTCCTGTTTGATAGCCACAGTCAGCTGCCTTGATACAAAGATGAAGAAGCTAAATGCACTGGTCAGGAAGCTTTTGGGTAGAAGCTCTTACCTTTGAACAAATGGCTGCCTGCTGCCAGCATAATTGGGTTCTGAGGGGAAATTTTCCGTCTAGAAAATGAAAGGAAAATTACATTGTGCATTGTTAAAATTGTCATGCAATGTTCAACATTTAGCTTGAGTAACACAAGATTCAAGCAGGAATGGGAATGTTCTTGTCTGGCTTTCAGACCTTTTATTGTGCCACCTGAAAGAATTCTACAAAAGCAAGACAGCACCTGCCAGTGATAACTGCATGATAAGAGCAAACCTCCATTGTGACCATATGTGCCTTCTTGGCAAAGCAAGGGAGAAAAGCATTAGCCACTGTCATCAGCATCCTTTTCCCCCTATCTTGAGAATAATGTGTGTTTGTGTTGATCACACCCACATACCCTGGTGACTGGTGACAGTGCCAGGCCCTGTCATCTGTGTTATCATCTCCAAATGAGACTGTCTGTGCAACTGTCCTATTTATTTACATCGTTTACAACAGATAATTCTGCCGTGTTAAACAGCACTACAAGCCCATGCTGTCAAATTAGCATGTTAGCTGGCGCGTGTATACAACCCTGCTATCTCTGCAAGGCGAGGCTGGACCCTATTAATGGCCTTATCGTGCCAACTTTTGGATGCGGATGGGTGGATCTGGCCCATATTTGTGGGGAGCGAGAAATGCGATTGTGAGGTTATGCTGTGTGCATCTAGCTGTCTGGTGCACATTGGTTCAGTAATGTGATCGGACAAGCTGCTCAAACACCTGTCCAATCCCACATTTCAGGCAGGGTTTTGTTTTCACTCTATAGCAGTGGATCTGGCAGGGTCACAGCAGCCTTGTTCAAGACTCACACTGTTTGCATGTCTAACTGTGAGGACTTTCTCATTATGCACACCACCTGTACCATTTTGCAAGAGAAGAACACTCACGACGGAGCTGTTTCTGAAAGGATTCAAGCTCCTCAAATACTCAGAGAAAAAGCTGGTGCCATTTGAAACAAATGAGCTCATCTTAATTCTAAATTTCCATATCATGTGAGGAATATTTCATCGTGTCATAACTGGGAAAAGAATAAGTGGAAATGATTATGTCTGCCCACAGAGACAGACTTTCTCTTTTTCAGTCGATTACTTTGCTTTTGTCAGATTTGTATGGTAAAGCAGCGGGGCGCTGATAAGCCAGAATAAAGGGCAGATAACGAATACAGTGCAGCATCCTCCTTACCTGTATCACTGACATCCTATTCGCTGGAGTGTCTGTGCTAAGCCCGGCAAAGCTGGAGTGGCAGCCCGCCCTGGGGACTGTCAGGCTGTTTGGGGTGGTTTTCAGGTACATGACCTCTGACCTGGGCAGCGTGAGCGGCAGAGGGCTCTGGTAGTCAAAACATATTGGTGATGTGATGAGTGAAGGGCTGCTCACCACGTTCATCCGGCTGGCAGAATCTCTTTCCTCCATCTCACTCTGCACCAGCATGATGTCACTCTTGTTGATCCTTTTCTTTTTGCCTTTCCCCACTGGAGGATTGGAGTACTCAGCCATGCGGCAGTTATAATTCCCAGCCTCCTTATCTTGATGCTTGGACTTGACAGCGATGGCGGTCATGACTGCTAAGAGCATGACAGAGATAATGCAGAGGGTAACTATGAGGGGCAGGGATACATCCCAGTGCTGCTGCTCCCCGCCCGTGCTGGAACCCCCTCCTGCCACTGTCTCTGTGTTCGCCTTAATGATCAGCTTAGCCACGGCAGATAAGGGGGGCTTGCCATGGTCAGTTACCTTCACCACAAGCTCAACCACTGGGGCAACCTCTTCCCAAAGAGCGTGTGCAGTTCTGACCTCCCCTCCCACCGGATCCATCTCAAACAAGTGGTCGTCATTTCCTTCTGTGATCTCGTAGGTCAAATGTCCACTCTCTCCGTGGTCGTGGTCCACAGCTTTCACTGTGGCCACAATGTATCCAATCCCTACGTTTCTAGGCACTGGGATTTCAGCTGTATCATTCAGCAGAACTGGCAAAATAATAACTGGGAGATTGTCGTTGACGTCAAGGACATTGACCCTGACTGTAGAAGTGCTTTCCATGTGCGGTGAACCTCCGTCTTTAGCTTGAACTTTGAACTCGAAGGATTTTGTCTGCTCATAATTGAAAGAGCGTGAGGCATATATGGCTCCATTGGTGGGGTTAACAGAGACGTACGTGTACACTGAAACGTCCCCGATGTGCGATGGCAGAATAGAGTAAGAAACAGTTCCATTGCGACCCACATCTGGGTCGTGAGCCAGAACCGAGCCCAGATACTCCCCCGGGATGTTGTTCTCAGGCACCTGTAGCACATACACTGTCTTTGTGAAGCGAGGTGCATTGTCATTCTCGTCCAGAATCTTCACGGTAAATGACTTAGTGTAGTTCAAAGAAGGGATCCCGTTATCTCTCGCCACGATTGTTACATTGTACTCATCCTTCATTTCCCTGTCCAGAGGCCTGTCTGTGAGCAGTGTGTAGAAATTATCATTGTTTTCCTGCAGTCTGAAGGGTACATTCCCGAGCACCCTGCACTGAAGTTGACCATTTCGACCAGAGTCTTTATCCGTCACTCTCACAAGTGCTATGACAGATTCAGGGGGTGCTGCCTCACTGATGGCTCCCTGCCGCACAGAAACAAAACTTATTATTGGCGAGTTGTCATTTTTGTCAAGAACTTTCACAGTTATTTTACAGTGGCCTGGTATCGGGTTGGGCCCCAGATCCTTCGCCTGCACGTCAAACTCTATGATCGGGTTCTCTTCAAAGTCAATCTCTCCCTGGACTTTGATGACGCCTGTATTGGGGTCAATGGAGAACAGATCTTGGATTCTCTCAGATGCGTATCCAGTAAAGGAATATATCACTTGCCCGTTGCTTCCCTCATCCAGATCAGTGGCGTTTAAATCTATGAGTACTTTTCCTTGAGGTGAATTCTCTGCGATCTCAAGCACATAGGAGGACTTATCAAAAACCGGGCTGTTGTCATTCGAGTCAGTCACTCTGACGTTAATTTGCATGGAGCCTGATCTCGGATACTCCCCTCCATCAATGGCTGTGAGGAGGAGGGTGTGATGACTCTGATCCTCCCTATCCAGAGGTCTCTGAACCACCAGCTCTGGATATATAGTCCCATCACCCCTCACTTTTAAATCCAGGGAAAAGGTGTTGTAATCATCTCTTGTGACCTGATAGGTCTTTATCCCATTTTCCCCTGAATCTGAGTCATGTGCAATAGTCAGAGGAAAGCGAGTCCCAGCAGCTGCGTTTTCAGAAATATCAATATTAACGTGGTCTGAGGGAAAGCTGGGCGAGTTGTCATTAATGTCCTGTATGTCAATCTTGATCATACATATTTCCTTGTCGTTGGCGAACACCTCCATGGAGAGCTGGCACTTTGGGTTGCGCCTGCATAACGTCTCCCTGTCAATCCTTTGTTTGGTGAAGATAAGTCCACTCTCCGGGTCAACATCCACCAGATGTGGTGCAGAATTCTCCAACACTCTGAAGTTGGATTTCTTCCCTCTCTCCATGGTCCCATATCCGGCATCTTTTGCTATATTACCTATAACAGTGCCAGGTCCTTGCTCCTCTGGGACGGAATAATTAAGGTTTTTCAATGTGAGGGCTTTAACCCACAGCAGAAAGAAAATGGGTACAGAGAGACGCATCCCTTCAACTGGATATGCGGTAGTGGCAGACAGAAAAAAAAAATCCTCGTTGACTTTCAACCTGTTGATTACGGCAAAGCTAGAGAACTAAACCCACACCAAGCATGTGGTTGACGCCGATCCCTCTCTAATTAGGTATTAAATCGATTTGTGGATCCTTATTGCCTTTGCAGACGCTATTTTAACCTCTTTCACATGCCGTTCAGCTATGATGAACTCTTTCTGTAAACAAAGATGACCGCCCGACGACACCTTGTGCATGAATTAAACATCAAATTCAACATTGTGTACTGAAAAAATGCTTTGTTTTCCCTCACGGCGAGACTTAATGAATAATCGATGACTATAAAGTATTAATATTCCCTCCTGCATCCAAGGTTAAAGCGTTTGAATCTCTGTGGTGAAGGTTAGACCCGAGCTCACAAAAGCGCATTGCCCTCATGCGACATCTACACCTAGGCTACAGCAAATACTGACATGCCCGTTCAAAATGCAGCATTGTCCGCTGTTACCATTCACAATGCATTTACTTTTCCTCCTGTGCGGCACACTGTTGCATATGGGCTCTGCTCGTGTAGCACACGCAGCGTGCCCATGCCACAAAGTGGAATAAAAGCGTGATACAGAGCTGTTAATCCTGTCCAACCTTTTGTGTTCCCGTCATTCAAGAGCATCTATAGCACGGCTGCGACTTTTGCCCGATGATTGTCCTATAATCAGTCCAGTAATCCCATAATCCAGTCCAATTGGACCCAGAGCTCTTGCATCCTTCATTCGGACAATGCTCATCCGCACCGTCCTCGTAAACGTTGCCAAAAAAATCACGAAAAAAAGAAGGTGGAAGATTTCAGATAATCAAAATTAATCGCTTTTTCTCCTGCGCTCAGTTGTCTCCGCGTCAACTGTTGAAACCTGCTCCCTTCGCAGTGAGATCTGACCGGAATCCTCGCGACGCCTTTCTAACACACTCCAGTGTATTTCTTGGTGCATTTAACATACTTTCTGATCGTCTTCCAGCAAATGAGTGAACAGTGACAGATCTTGCCTTGGGGGGGTTTTCTCCAATAGGTCTGGCAAGATCGCATGAAGAAGGGCTGTTCTAGTGCTACGTGATTCATTTACTGATGTGCGCGCACAGAGGCAGCAGCATCAGAGGGGGGGAAACGTGCTGCTGCTGGATGTTGCTCCTAATACATGTGGATGCGAACTAGGGATTATGAATAGATCGATGAAATGTGTTTGGCTGGGATGTGGTGGAACCAGTGGGGACCTGACAAGTGGTCATTCTATAAAAGAGAAGTGGATCAGATGGGTGACAAATGCAAAATTAAAGCTGACAAATTTCTTAAAGGTTAACTGGGATCCTTCCCCTCAGAGAGGTGTGCTCTCAGTATCAATGAAGCCCTTTGGATATTCAGAGCTGGGAGATTCTTATCAATAATTGAAAACAGTCCCACCTGTGTCCTGTATTGTTCCTTTTCATGATTAGTTTTAAGGAAATCCTGGCACACAGATAAAATAAAAAGACAGACTGTGGGTGTTTTCAGGATAATCTCCGCAAAGGACATAAGAGAATTACTTGTGCTTGTGAAAAAAAAAGAAAAAACAAGGCTTATTTCACAGCTCAAATATCACAGCTGTTGGTATAACCTGCCTTCTGCAGCTATCACACTTGCCTTCAATAGCCTATCCACATCAATCTCATATCTCATATCGAAAAAAAAAAGATGGACTGACATTTAGTTCTCTCTGAATTTCAACAATATGACATTTGCATTTTTATTCTCACTTGACCAGATCTCAGGGGCGGCGTGGCGATTCAGGTGCCCCAACGAGAGTAATTCAGAGAGGAAGCTGTGTCAACACCGGGGCCAGATCAGCACGGCCCACTTCCTCATTTAATTCCATGTTGCCCAGGATCTAAATCAACCTTGAGTTCTCCCGGAGTTCATTTCAATTGTCTGAAACATGGCTGCTTTCCTCCTCTGGGGAGCATCAACTTTGCCTGGCCAGGGTGCAGCCTGCATAAATTGGCCATTTCTGCAGGTAAGAGATAAGGACAACAAAGGGAAACTAATTATCATTCAGTCTATGTTAAAACCTCAGGAAAGGGCTGCTATTGACAATTGTGTCTGCATTGTCACAGTCATACCATTTAATATGATCTGAACTCTGAATGAGAGGGAGGCTCATATCCATATTAAATAGGCCACATCTCAATGTGTGGCTCCGGCTGCCTTGTTTTTGTGGCGCTGACGACTTTGTCATGGGTAACTTTCTCTAATGAGTCCATTGCTCTCGCCCTGGAATGAACCATATTCTTTGCCGCTTTGTTAGCAGTAAAAGGCACACGGATGCATCAGTTGTTTCATGACGAATTGATTTTTACTTGAAAGCACATTATTCTGCTGCTGTAAAATTATACCTGTTGTAATTCCACAGAGGTTGGGATGACAAATGGTCGGCTATCCTCGTCGAAAAACACGCACAATATCTTGGCATCTCTTTCAAGTGACTCACACTCCTCACACAAGCGTGATTAGAGGTGAGATTAAGTTGTTTATCATTCTGTTTTTGCACCCTGTTGCTGGTTGCACCACACCTCAAGCAGCACAACAGAATACTGATGGTGGAGAGTGCAAAGTGGTGATCAACACAAGTTGCTGAATTTTTAGCAGAGTAGATGCATGAGAGAGCAAGTTCTGTTTGGAGTGAGCGTCTCCATGGGACAGTGTGTAAACATGTTCATTTCGCACACGTAGACGAACAGGTGCGGGAGGGTTTTCAAAGACACTTTCTTAATCAGTCAAAGAGGAAAAGATAAAATGGTTCAACAACAACAGCATAAGTTTAGGCTTGTCGAAGTAAACACAAATCAAAGTCAGTTAATTGTCTAATAGTACCAACCACTATGCTCTCTACAGTGCATCTTTAAAGCACCATTTTCTATCATTTTAAACCCCACTATCAGGTCTCTTCTGTCTTGTGATAAAGATCCATATCCCTGTAAGGACTATGCATCATGAGTCAGCAGTACCTTACTTTAAGGGTCACTTTAAATGGTTTGTAACATCCTAAAAACCCTCCCTGTTCTCCAGACAGCTCACAATGGCGCTAAATGGAATTTCAATTTGGCTGCTTCGATAATTGAAGACGAACATTTCGAAAAACTCATTTTAGGGAGCTATTTACTCTGGATGATCCACATAGCAGCATACTGGATGCCACTCTTTTCATGGGAGGCTGTCAGTGATCACACCATTGTTTTCTAGAAAGGCATTTTTCTGTTGTATGGAGAAGTCATTCAAAAAATTCCTCAAGTGAAAAATATCTATTACCTCCCATTCTGTGCACGCTGCTAAAATGGGACATGGTGACAATGCAGCAGGGACATGTCCAGATGGACTGGCTACGGGTGACACTGGCCCGCCTTAAAATCTGATTGGCCACCCCAGGCGCCAACCCTAAAATCCTTCACTGTGATTTACCTTATCAGAGGGGGATGTATGTATAACTGGTTCTTAAAAGTCCTCCTCAGAGTGGCCAGTTTTGGTGGGGGTTCTCATATGCAAAGAGATCCTCCATATCCTGAATCTAATGCCTATTTTGTGACAGCAGAGGATATTCCAGACATAGACTGTATAAACTATGGACAACTTGGTTTCGCCTTCTGCCAGTATACGAATTTGAAGCCAAAAAGCTCTCTGTATTTCTGCAATTTTTCTCCATTTCCTGAAACCAACATTGTGCAGTAGCATTGTACGCATTCGGCGGGAGAGTCGCTGTGATGACTCTCGGCTCAAACAGTGTACCCTCCAGGCGAGCCACCCAATCTTAGTATGCCCATAGACTGTATCAAGTGTCAATCATAGAAAACATGAACCCCCTAATAACTTTTAAAAATGGAGCTGTACAGAAAAAAGTTTGTCCACAGCTCCATAGGTGGAGGAGGCGGGATTTCTGACCTATACTGCAGCCCGTCACCAGAGGGTACTGTTCTCGGGGTAGCTTCACCCAGCGAGGAGGCAGATGGCGTCCATTCTATATACAGTCTATGATTCCAGACCTTTTGCTCTGAGGGTGTGGCTCAGTCAGTGAGGGTGGAGATCCAAAGTAAAGGAGCAGAACAAGATCTTTCCATAATTAGTTGCAAAAAAAAATCATGAGTGATCACAGCCATAACCATATGGTGAAATAAGTTATATCTTAAAGCTTCTATAAGTAACTTTCAGTTTCTGTTGATTTTGGCACCCCTATGTACAAAACAATGCCACATAACTTAGCTGATCTTTTCCTGCACATGTGAAAAGTCTCACTTAAAGTCACATGTATTATTCATCATGAGTATCTGCTGTAGAAAAAAGTATTAGAAAGCTTTTCTTCACCAAGTGTTCAATCACACTGTCTGGTATCTACCCCATCACAGCAATTGAAAGCTTAAAAAATGACTAATTAGAAATTGTCAGTCTAATTGCTAACTGTTTGATTTGCTTTCTTTTGTTATAAAGAGTGACTTTTCTATTCATTTCATTTCAGTCTGTTTTCTTATCGGTTGAAAATTCCTGGAGGAGCTTTAAAAACTGATCTTGTGTTGTGAAAAACTTTTTTTTTTTTTTAATTTTACGGATTAATTAATTGCTGACATCTTTTAGGTTGGATGTTACAGCTTTTGCAAGTTGTTGCTGTTGCTGCTCCGCTGGTCTCTATCTCTTTCTGTCAAACCCATTCACAACAGATGGCTGTATGACATAAATATGGTTCTCCTCAAGGTTTCAGCATTTTTAAATGAAGTTTTACCTTGCCACAGGGACTTGCTAAATGCAGTAGTGCTCTGCACATAGTGGATTAATGCTGAGTCTCTCAAAATAATATAATAAAGAGTACAGCCTGGACGTGCTCTTCTTTTTAAAGTGTCTTGACATTTGCCACGAATTAGAGCTCTCCAAATAAAGATTCCCTGATTGAAAGAGTTACTTCAATTACCGTTCCCTCCTGATATTCTAAAGTTGTTTTTAGGGGCGCCTACCCTTTTATTAGATAGGACATTTAAAGAGAAAGAGGGAACATGAGGAGTGGAGAGCGGGGGAGGACATAAAGGAAGGGGTCGTGGCCGGGAGTCGGGCCAGCGACTGCTGCGACAAGGACTGTAGCCTCAATACACGGGGCATGTGCTTCTATTGCTAAGCCAAACCAGCCCCCCTATTTCTTTAAAATGCTAATAGAAACGGTAATCCACTCCTTCATTCTGATTCCTTATGAAATGCATTGCTATATATATTTGTTATATATGATTGTATTTTCAAGGAGACAGTGTTGACACTGCTGCAGAGGGTGACATATGAAAATGGGTGCAGGAGCTGACTTTCAGTCAATCCAAAGATCCTGCTGCTTGGTATAACCTATACATATAATGTGTACAAATCTATGGCTGAAAATAGTACCAAACAAATTTACTTCAGCTGCAGCGACTTTTGTTAAAAATAGCTGCGCTCTGCTTCTTTATGAACTTTTTTCATCCTTGAGTATTTAAATGAACTGTAGATTTCTTGCCTTTACACACAAATTATACAGCAAATCCAAGTTACCTGTATTTGAGACTGTGTCAAAAATGTTAATAATTGTTTTAAGGTCCAGCATGAATAAAAAAAGCTACACAAATGTGACAACATCTCGAAGATGCACCATAATTACATGTATTATCTGAAAAAGAGATATAAAAGGTGAGTCACCGGCTGCAGCAAAGCATAAGAGCCATTCTGTCCTATAGCTTGAGGTTTCCTGATGTTGATCATAATTGTGTCATCTGTGTTTTTTATAATACCTGCGCTGCCATGAAAGGCTCTTTGAATCACACATAACCAGCAACATGTTGTGAAAATAACACCCTGTGTGGCTGTGAGACTGAATATAGGGATAGCAAACAGAGATATACAGTATATATATTTTTTCATCAATGGTTTCCTTGACCTTGGCCTTGGACATCTCTGCTGTGTAACTGTAGGTCGACACTTGTCTTGCGAGTCCTCCACTCTTCAACAAACACCTTTACAGACAGAGCCACTGGTCTGCCTGTGGATGCAACAAAAGGAGCCTCAAAAATCTCACAAGCCTTATTATCACAATACATGTTGAAAATAATAATATATGCATTTATATTTGTATATATAAATGCAAATCCTCACGGGTTAATGTGCCGATATTCAAATATTTCAATTATGAATTAAAACTCCACAGCCGAGTTTTTCTCTCCAGAACGTGCAGGTTAAGGATTTGATGTGTTTTTGAATTTGATTTTTTTGAGAAACTCTCCCAGGCACCCAGAGCTGGGTCAACCTTCAGCCAAATTCTCCAACTCAAAGTCTAACTTGAAAGCATTTTGAATTCCTCATAGCATCCAGTGGAGTTTCAGCTGGTGGTCGGTAAGATGGGTTTAATAAATTCTCAACCTAATCTGCATTTGTGGGGGAAGGAGCTAAGAGTGTGACTGCCTGTTGAGAATGTGCCTTTTTAAAAGGGTTTATGCAAATATGCACCTAAAAACTCTCAAATTACCTGCTCATCAATCAGTCTGGAAAACAAGCGTGTAATGCTCTGCTCTGATCCGAACACAAAACACATTAGGATTGTAAAAATAACGGCCACTTTCTGGCTAGAATTCACACTCAGCTCACAGCAAACATAACAGAATGAAATCATGAATATAATTATTAGAAACAAGAACACAAACACCATAACCTGTGAAACATTTACAGACCCTCCTTTTGTGTTCCTGTACAGACGATGAATAAAAGACAGACTGGGCATATATAGGAATATCCAGAGGTCATTTTTACTTGGAGGCAGGGTCATAATTGGAGTAAGAGGGGCTAAATACTGTATGTCAGGAGGTTACACATGCTAAATAATCACTGTGGTGTAGTAATGCTTCACTTGCCTTGACTGGTGGTTCGTGCATTATTCAAAGCACCACCTTAAAGCCGGAGTAATTAACACTAAATAATCATACAGCGAACTAAAGTCCAATATTTGTGCATCCCTCTTCAAAAGTTGCAAATGAGAGACGGCTGCAGCGCTGTAAAACAGCAACAAAACACACACATGCGTTGTAAATATTTCAGCCGATCAATACTATTTTCCATTTAATCAAGTAGGTTTTATTAAAGAATCTGAATTTGGGTTACAAATTAGTGGGGTAATTGTAAATAGCCTGAGCTAGACTCAGAGGCCACAGTATTGCAAGAGTCATGAAGAATCACCCTCTCTGAAATCCATTGATTATTCATCTTAGTAATGACCTCATGTCGTAACTTGTTAGACTTCAGTACTCTACAACCCACCACGTGGCTTCAGAGGCTCCAGTTACAATTCACTGCTTAAACGCACATGCATAATTACTGCGAGGGGCTTTGATGATCATAGGAGTATCATGGAACATTTTAAAGAGTGAAATTTCAGTCCAGGCTTTCAAAAAGAGTTGGCAGCTGAGTTGAAAGGTTTTTTTTTTTTTTTCCCTTGTCTGACGAGCCTATTGTAATGTCAGAACATGCAGTCAAAGTCCTCAAGGCAGAAGGAGTCGGCACTTACCACAAACCACTCAACACCTTAAGATCTTTGCTGGGGCCCCCCTGCAGTGGAGAGCTGGAGTGGCATATGACATCCCATGTGGCTGCTGATTAAATAGCAAGAATCCTGGACAAGACACTGAATAAGCAGCAGAAGAAAAAAAGACTCCATCAGTCTATGAACACCGGACCAAAGGCTGCTGCAGGACTGACTTGGATAGGGAGGGTCAAAGGTTATCAACAAGAGAGTCAGCAGATGGCCAGAGAAAGATCTGACATCAGAGGCCATCTTTGAACAGAGACTGTTTTTATACTTCAGTAACGTGATGGTTACTAAGCTGAATCTGTGACAAAAAAAGAAGATCACTTAATTTGCTGTTAAAGCTCCAGAAAAATGCTAATAGGTAGGCCTGCGGTTAAAAAATTGTCAGTCAAACCATGTTTATATTGGTTTGAAAACTCCCCAGACAAAACCTGAGAAGAGAGTCTTTAATAAATGTACCCTATCTGAAGCACTCTTGTTAAAAAATAAAGAGGGGATGTCTTTAAAAGCTTAGTCTTCAGGGACGTGCCTTTAACCTGTAATCTCTTCATCCACCAGCAGGGGGAGACGACTGTGGCTGCAAAGAAGAGGTGACTCTTTGGCACCAGGTGGAAGAATTTGACCAACTTGTCCTGTAATCTTTCACCTCACTAAAGATGCAGTCAGTGAATTTATGATTCTAATCAAAAATGTGAAGTAATCCTCGACAGAGCATGATGTTCATTTTGTTTCCATTCGATGATGTTCAGTGCGGTCTTATTTAGACTACCTGCCATTAAGAAGCCCCCTCGATGCTGCCCTGTCAAACAGAATCAATGCAGCAATGTGTATCCACTCTGTTTGCCAAATACGGTCACATCCTGCTCCAAGAAACCGAGATGACAATGGCAAAAATGTCTTACCTGAGGCTCTGAGAGGGAACTTCTCAGACCTGGGGATAACATACCCTGCGGACACTTCCTCGACTGTGAAACAGTCTTTGGTAGCTCTCAAAGTGAGGAGAAGGAAGAGATCAATATATAAAGTTCAAGTATAAGCACGTCTGTGTTACATTTATTTAACCTGCTTTTTCACATTTTACAGTGAGAGTGGTTGTAGAGGGAGTTACGGCATACCAACACCCTTATTGGCTAGTCCAGCATATTTTTGCTGCATGGTAAACATTTTGTAAAAAAAGCATGTGCACCAAGCTAACATAAATAAAGAGTAGTTACATTTAATTATTATTTTTTTATAATAATGAATCATCCCTGAGTCAGAAGGAAGCTACCAAGGATTGAATCAGCTGGGATCACGTTGTTGGGGAGAGATTCACACCTTTCATACGTATGACTAGAGATGGACCAAATTTGTTTCTACAGGAATTCAAATACCTACAACCACCCAGGAAAAGTCCAAATTTAGCACAACCTATTTCACACGACTAAACACGGGATTACAGATACTGAGAGTAATCTGTGCCAAGTGGGGCTAAAGATGGCAGAGCTATCACCACTGGTCTACTCTCCTGAGAGACCAACATCCACATGCCTGTGCTGGTCACAAACTTCTCTGGCCAAGTGGTTATGTGTCTCTTGAACTTACACACAACCTCATCGCCATTTTCTGCCCCATGAGTTGTTAATGTCATCTGTGCTTGTTATATTTGGGCGTAGAGCATCATTATTCTGATAATATGATTGATGGTATTAAAGTTATGGTGTGTTAAAATGGGAGTATTCAGGGATATCAAGGAGTTATATTCTTGATTGAAACGCTCCCCTGCTCCCTCCTCCTGACAGTAAAGTGACAGTGGCCTTCGAGGACATAAAGCTACCTTGACGCATAATAAGTATGATCCTCCACTTATCAAGTTGTTACCACCAAAAACGTCAATCAGTACAAACCTTTCCATCTTTTCTTTGTCTTCCAATGCAGCCACAAGAACAAAAACACAAAAGTTTGGTTGTTAGTAGTTTGATTTGTGATTATGGAAGATGGGACTTACAGTTCTCCATGGATTCAATTTCTACCGCATCTGTTTTGCTAAACGCACTGAAATACCTCACACTGTACCTTTAATGGACAAGTAATTATGGTGAGGATAACAATGTTTGAGCATTCAGTTCACTAAACAAACATCAATTGTAATGATTGAACTTTGGGGACGCCAAGGAAGCGCGAATAAATCTTGCTGAACTCTTCCCCCATATTCTTTGTCTTTATGCAAAGCTGTAAGATTACTACCTTGCAGCTTCAGCTCAAAACTTAGAGCATGAACGTGAGAGTGATGCTGATAATCTTATCTAGAGTGAGCAAGTGGCAGAAGTAGAGTTTAAAGCCTCTGTACTATTTCAGCTGGGCTTTGGCAGTAAACAAGTTGTAAATAAACTAAACGCACATAAATGTTAAATTATGTTTTCTCGATATCTGTGCCCTGTATCAAGACGGTGTTTGATTTGAGCCACAATAGATTCGTTTATAATCGAGATAAATATAACATGTGTGCCACTTTATTTTTGAGGGCCTCTGTCTAAATTTCACTGAGCTGGATCTAGTGCGCAGTCTCATAAAGGCTGTGCTAGATGCCTCGTCTCACTCTTAGCTCAAGTGTCCCACATACAGTGTGAGAGAATTGCTGGTTACACTGCTCTTAGGACCGGCAGAGAAGCAGCAGGTTAGAAAAAAACACCTCCCGAGAGAAATGATTCAAGGTATTGGAGAGCCAGAGAGGCGAGTAAAGTGAATGCAATTTCAAAGGGGAAATAATGGAGGTCATGGTGTTTGATGTTCCTATGCTGGCCACGAAAATGACTTGGTTGATGATGGAATCAATCAAACCTCCACGGCACTGAATGTTAATGAAGATATGTTTAGTTGTTTTTTTTTTTTTGCATTTTTTAATAATGGCGTTAACATCAAACCTAGCCAAACAGAAAGAAGCGCACTTATCTGTACCCGTGCTGGGTGATATCAGCTGACTGAAGCAATAATATTTGAAATGTGACGGCTGTTTTTTTTTTCTCCTCCTTTCCTTTTTTTTCACTGTTCTACTCTTGTGTTTTTTTGTTGTGATGAGTGAACACAAGGTCAAAATGGAGTTTATCCTCTGATATCACCTGCCAGTCCAGACAAGGGAAACGCTCACTCAAGGTGACATTACTTTGGTGTCTGTACTCAGCATGCCACTACATCTTTCATTTCCTGTGAGCTAAAATTTACAACTTATCCTTTGACAGGTGGAGTAAACATTTCTAATATGACCCAGGCTGTGATCTTCCCGAGAAAACAGAAGAAACCCTGCCTCAGCCTCTGCGATCCCTGACAATCCCAAAGAAAACAAAAAACAAAGCCCACTTTTTGTTTTTATATATAATTCAGGTATCTGGCATGACTCAGAAGACCTTGAAGTGCCTTTAAAATTTCAGCGTATTAGAGAATCAAATAAAACAGAACAATAAATTCATTATAGGATTTCTGACGTAGCTTCCATATATCTGTATTCTGTGTGGACTCACATGAAGGTGAAAGCCGTGGAACGAACAGCGCTTACATAATTAGATGGAGACAGTGATGATAGATTGTAACAATAGCAGTGTGATTTAGGAGAGCTCATGACTTTTCCTTATTCTATGTGCACTGGCACTTTATCTCAGACCCAGAGAGTTATTTAGTATGCAATGGATCAATCACCATCCTCTAAAAGTCATTTAAATTAACTTCTCGGGCAGATATCTATCCAGAAAAGTGGTCGACAGAGGCAAGAGACTATCAGAAAATTAAAAAGGACATAACGTTTTTCACTGTGTGAAATGGAAATGGAACAAAACTGAGCAAAGAAGCGGCTACGCAAACATGCCAAGATGTCCCCTAACAGATTGCTTTTTTTTTCCTCATCTTTGAATGTTTTTCTTTTCACAGATTCAAAACAGGAGGAGCAGACTTTTTCTCACATCATCCTGGTCGTGACAACACATTCTGTCTTTTCATTGACAACCGGACCGGCCGTCTCATGATTGCATCCTATATAGCATGCCACTGATGCGCCAGTCATCAAAGCCATGACAGCTAAATTCATTTTTCAGTGAAACACTGTCCAACTTATTAATACTTCATAAGAACCGAGGGGGGAAAGAAAAAAAAACACACACACACACTGCTCTAAGTCTGACTCAGTCTCTCCTTCCAAATTAAAAGGACTCCAAAGTGAATGTTTGATTCCCTCTAAATAAAAATAAGCCAATGGCCATGCAGTGCATGTCTAATTGCAGATGAAGCATCAAATTAAAATGTCAGGGACTAGTTGGAGACACAGTAGCTGCAGAGTTGGGGTTTGAATTTATGTTGGAGATTATACCGTTTTCAAGGGAAGGTGTAATTTGTGCAGCGGTATTACCAGAGCAACACCATGTTATTAGTTTTGACAATTCTCAGTCATGTTAATGTCGGGAGGAAGGAAGGCAGCATGCCACCTAGTGGGATGTGAATAACCCATATATCTCAGCACCAATTAGTATTAGGCTGTACTGTAAAGTGACAGGAAACTAATTCATAAATACTGTAGCAACATGAAAGAGGAGGGAAGCCATCCAGAGAAGAAAAATAAACTGTCAGTTCTATACAGATCGGGAAACATCAGCAGAGCCTTTCCAATTACTTCAAGGTTAACTGTGAACCGCTAATAACTTCAGGGAAGCGGAGAAACAAAACATTGTTAGCTAATTACATAAGCAAGTCATTTAGACTGATTGATGCAACACAATTCTCTCTCTCTCTCTCTCTCTCTCTTTATTCTGCACTCTCTCTCTCTCTCTCCCCCTCTCTCACCCTAATTTTCACTCCCATATACCAGAGAGCAGCATAAAGGCTGCATTTCCTTTGGCAGCTGTCTCCATGACATCCCACACTGACACAATGAGACACTCTCTCAGCTCAGCAGTAAACCACAATCAACTGGTGAACAACTGGCACAGATTTATCATCATCAGCTCAGGACCAAAGCTCTACGTGGGAGCTGACACACTCTGCAGATAGAGAACTGCAGGCACTGCCATTACTGTTTAAGACAGAGGTCAACCAGGCGGCAGTCACTCCATGTGTGTATTTATGCTGTGAAAAGATAAATTAATATTCCTATGGCTGTCAGCTTGATGAGACTGAGCATTCTTGTTTATTTCCATTTGGCTTATTTAGATGCCATATAATAGAAAGGCTTAAAAAGAGATGGATCGGTCATGTTTATTGTGATTTTTTGTTGCCTCTCTTGTCACTGGTGTCAGAATAGTCAGTTCACTCATGCATACAGTGCTTTTCATTGACAAAGATGCATTATAACAGCTCATCCTGCTTACAAGCCCATTTGGGCATTGAGTTTTTGTTGCACATCAAAATAAATATGCTCAGTATGTGGCTTTGTTATTCCCAGTGTTCCTTTGATTTACAGAAAGAGCAAAAAGTATATTGTTAATTTTGTTTCCAAACTGTGTGCATGCGTGCGTGCGTGTGTGTGTGTGTGTGTGGGTTTCAGTTCCCTTCAGACAGAGATTAAAGAGCAGAGTATGAAATTCATGGCATTGAATGACTCACATCGTACATTTCAGCTGAAAATGAACACTTGATAGTCTAAGTGCTGAAGCATGAACCGCATGTGCTCGCCCTGTTTTGTTCCCAAGACTTTGAATGCAACATGTCCTTAAACATCAGGATGGAAACCAAAAATAAAGAAAGCAGGGTTAACCCTGAGTGAATTCATGTAAGCAAGACAACAATTGTGATTCATGTACTTGAACTGCACACTGCGAGTACTTTCCATCCTATAAAAACATCTGAAATAGTAGCAAGGAAGTAAAAGTAGTGACACATTACATGATGTTACGGTTGAGCAAAGGCTGCCTCTGACACTCCATTACAAACTGACATTTTGTAATAGCATACAGCTGCAGCAGCTCGTGAATTACACCTCCCTGCTTTAGAAGAGATAGATTTTTTTCTAATGAAGCAATCACAGCGGCAATAAATTATAGATGAACTATTTTATTTTGTTAAATTAAATTGTTCTTATCACATCCTAACCAGGTTGCTGTGTATAAAACAGTGGCCCATATAAGAGGGAATAGTGTTTGGGTTGCCAGGCATTTTGTGAGGTTGCATGTTTCCCCCTAGTGGCGTAGAAACTTCAGTAAAACAGACAGACAGAGGGAGTCATATTCTCTAAAGTTATGGCTTATAACTTTATCAACATGGATCTATGTATTCATATTTTGTACTAAAGGGAATGATGTTGTACAATTGATTTAAAGTCTTATTTTATCTTTTGTTATTGCAAACATGCCAGTCCTTTTTCACAGGGAGAATCATTCAAAGTGAGAAACAAATGCCTGCCTTTCTGGGACAGTCAACATAAACGGAAATGAGAAATAACGTATATTATTTGAGCATAAAGCATGAATGACTGATGGGGTGGCTGACTTGTGCTTTATACCATCTGTCAAAATATCCTTTGAAATCACTTCCGATCTGAGTGTCTAACTACTTCTCTCCCTCTTCATTATCTGAATCTGACTCAGATACAGAGCGCAGATATTAAAGCAGTGAATACATCAAACCAATCAGTTCATATTACTTAGCACAGATGTCTGATGATAATGTCACACAGCATCTCATTGTTCATTTCTTTATTCAAATCATAGTCGTATCCTTACGTGCTCTGAGGCTTGCCATTAGTGGAACTGGAAAGAAAGATGAAAATGCAGAGCTGTCCATGTTCTTCCCTTATGTGGTTTTAATTTGTATTCTCGATGTATTTTCCTATCTGAAATTACTGTCAGATTAACAACTACGTGGACTGCATGCTTTTCACATGGCAGGTCTTACAATTGCAACAAGCGCTGCTGCAAAAACTCAGTTCAAATTACACTTTAATACAACAGTGTCACACTGAGGAATCAAAACACTTCCTTTAACAGCCGTAATACAGATGCCAGAGGTTAAATCTTCAGAATATTGTTGCTTGTCTTCCTGGTTCCAACATTTAATATAGCATTTATAATGACGCTGAAATAACATTCAGAGATAAATAACTTGAATTAATTGAAATCTGAGTTTACAGAAGCAGGGGTGCAGGTGACACACTGTCTACTGCTGACGTGTCTGATTCAGCGGGCAGCTTTGTGGTTTTCATCAAATCCATGGGGCCAGGCACCCGTCTTATACAATCACAGGCATTTTATGTAATTTGGCTAAAGTAAGAAAATAGTCACCAGCCTTGGATTTAGCCATTCATCAAATAATTTGCATGAGTCAGACAAAAGACAGAAGTACTTTGTTGATAATGCAGGTAAAAGGTGTACTTTGACATGTGATGAATTAGACTTATTTGCTTTCTTGCCATGAGTTAGAAAATAAGATTAATACCACTCTCATGTCTGTCCTTCAGTTAAGTCTGAGCCAGCGGCAAGTTAGCTAAACCTAACACAAAGCTGAAAACAGCAGGAGACAGCTAACGTTGCTCCCCTGAAAGGTAATAAAATTCACCAACCTGCATCTTAATATCTTTCTTATTGCACATTTCATCCTTTTGATTCGATTAAAGCAAATAACAACATGTAAAAACAACATTTCTTTTGCCATCCAACACTCCAGGTGCTAAACTAATACAGTTATGATGCTTTGCACCAGGTCTGAGATTTTGAACAACACAGAGATCTGATAAAGTATTATTGTATGTTTTCTAACTGGTTTGTTGGTAACCAAGAAACAGGAGTGAAAATAAAGAGAAAAACTTGTTTGTACTTAAAGTAAGGCAAGGCCAACATCGTAGCTTTGGTTAGATAACACCAAACAGTCAAATAACTCCTTGTAAAAGTACAAAGTGTGCTAAGACGTATTACTCCTTTCCTAATGTAACTCTTGGCTCTAAAGTAATAGCTATTCTGACTCTAACTCTATAACGCTTTATCTTATTTAATTGACACTTACAAGAGTCGTATCTGTCGTCTACTTTTCAGCAAGACAGCAAATAAGCATATTTCCCGAGTCATCAGACTAATACCTACATCAGTTTACCCTTAGCACACCAGCATGAAACATTATCAAGGTCTCTGTCCATCAGCGATCAAACAGCACTCAAAATGTAAATATGTGTTTGCATGTTTTTTTCTCCACATTATATTCATACGCCACGGCTGCAAGAGACAAAAGAAATCACAGATTGACAGTAATTACAGAGGAATGACAGGGACCCAAATGATAACATCCCATAATTTAGTAGAAACGATGGCTTTTGCCTCCCAGATGTCTCATTTTTTTCACATTCCTAAAATATCAGACATTGATGTGGGAGTGAACTTGGCCGGACAGAGCGTATTGTAAATGAAGCAGACAACATCTTAATGGCAAATGAACACAGACACGGCTTCTCCTTCTAGACAAACTGTCAAGTGCAGAACAAATGGTGTTTATTTTTTCACACACCAGCCCCACAATTCAAAGCATCCAAAAGTCAATAACCACACTTGGCAGTTGAGACAAAGATGAAGATGAGGTGCGAGTGGTACAAAAAACATTGCATTGTGGGACAGGCCTGAAGCACCAAATAACATCGATTGAGACTGGCTCCTTCTCTACACACTGGGTAGACTGGGGGACTTGTGTCTTAAAGATGAGATGCTAAGAGGCCATAACAACATAATCACAGTCATACAGGCAGCCATTTGTCAAAAATAAACCAAACACCAGCAGATGGGAGCTAGAAAGTGACGTGTGTAGATCTGACACATTTGTCAGTGGACTACTGATGAGCTGAAAAGTGGCTCTAAAACACTCATTTTCTATTACCTGGGGAGATTTCAAATGTGCTGTGAGAGCTGCTGCAGGACATTAATGTGAAGTCCATTTGGATTTGAGTGAAAACAGAGCCAGCCAGCCAACAGACACACATTTTCTACCTAAAACTTAGCGGATGAACATACTTTCTGGCACAAATTGCCAGGTCAATGCACATGTATTTGACCTACAAGGAGCACATAAAGCCCCAATGAAGAGATTCATATTGTATTGATTGATAAATGCATTCTCCCTCTGTGTACAATTGGCTATCTGTCAGACCAGTGCACATCAGCAGGGGCACAAATATGACCTTCCTTTTTATTGCTTGTCTTTTGCACCGCATGGCCTTGAATCCTCGGCGGAACCTGTGCCCAAAATAAAGTTATTAACTTTGCAATTTCCAACCTGGAGTGACTTTGCAGAATATATGAGTATTAAATTAGATTTTTTAAAAACTCATCAGAACAACTTGGATGAGGATATCGTTTTTGAACATTTTCTTCTATTCATGAGGCATATTGTTGCAATGTGTGAGAACTCTTTTTAGTGCCTTACAGTTATGTAAAAAGGCATCTAATCCACTCTATTCCAGCTTTTATCACAGCTATCAAAAGCCAAAGAAGCAGGTATTTATGCTTATGCAAATGAGCAGTGCTCTCAGACCCCTTTTGCTGCAGATGAACAGAAAAAATAAAGAAATAATGTCTCAGTCTGCCACCACTTTTCCACTGATAGCTCTTCCTTGGCTGCACTTTTGGAAACTATTTATTTTCTCTTCAGGGCTGGCCCTCAGATAGCTATTATGTAGTTTGTAACTAACCCTTATGTCTTTTCTCATTTGCTTTCATTCATCAGCAGCTCATTTAGATTGACCTTAAAAATAATGAGGACTGAATACTGCAGCAAACGTGTGCAGGGGTAGATGAAAATCAGCAGGTATTTAAAAATCGTTTTACAGTTATATTTCCAGATGCCCCAAACTTCAGAGCCTGGTCTAAAAAAAGAATATTAAAAAAGCAAAGTCAGACGTGTATACTTGTAACTCCTGATAAAAACATACTCTACATTAAGAGGTATTAAAATAAGTTTATATGGGTCAGTTATGGAATAGTTTTGCTGCTCCACTTTAGGAGATATAAGTGAAAAAAATAATGTCACAGCGACATTTCAAGGCACAACAGTTAGTATTCAGCACTAAGGGGGATGTTTGTCATGGCTGCTTATGGATTTAAAACCATCGATGTCCTATTGATGAATTATTTTGGGCCAAAGACAGTGTGCACTTGCCCTACATATGCATGGCTGAATCTAACTTAATAACAGACACCAGTTCAGTAGAAATGGCTGTTAAAGCTAGGCAAGCTGGAGTTCAGAGGAAGAGGTACAGGAAGGAAATCTTATTTCATCCTATGCATATTTTGTCCTATTTCTCTTGGCAAGAGAAGTCTTATAAACAAGAGCTCCCTCATAGACACTAATGACAGCCAGGCATTTGTCAAACAACAGTGCTGCAGTGTGTACAGTGATGTAAATTATTTAGAGAAGCTGAGGCAGGTGTGACAGCAGCCAGCATGATTTTGTAGAAATAATGGTTTATACTTTATTTTTCCACTTGACTACCAGCTCCACACTCTCTCTCTCTCTCTCTCTCTCTCTCTCTCGCTCTCTCTCTCCCTCGCTTTAATTTGCATGCACGCAACTCCAGCGAGCTACCAGGAGTCTTCAAAGCCAGTCTCCCAGGTAATGGAGCAGCTTGAGATTTTACATCTGATCATCACTGACTGGAGTCTTGATCATGTAGATTCAAACTGGGGGGGACGAGTTCTGCATGTTTACAAATTCTGCCTGGAGTTTTTAACCGCCGAGGGGAACGATATTTAATCTTCTGAAATCCAATATTTTTCAATTAAATTGATGTATTGTCTGATCGCATTAATTTACTCGGATCATCCCTTTTCCAGAAAATGCTTGAATAATAATGCAATTTTTATGATCTCAGAAAGACTTTTATTGGAAAAAGAAACACATTTGTGTTGCGTGAATAAACATTATATACTCGATAATGATAATAACAAATATGTACATCTGCTACACATACTCAGTTTTACAATTTTTACATCTTCAGCTGCTCTAATTTGGCGTATACACAGTTTTTTTAAAAGATAGTCGCCACCTCTAATGCTGTAGCAACTGTAACAAAGCTCGGACTCTCCCTCTGGACTTCAGGTCCTCCGACAGCCACCTCACACTGCTCATGGTGCAGCTGAGAAGGGAAGTACGAAGGAAGAGTCCCCGTCCTGGAGAAGCTCTGCATGCTGCTCCTCGATTTTGGGCGATTTGTGCCATAGCCGGAGTCCTTCCAAGAGAGGGGATAGCCATGAGGATTGTTGAAGACTGGCACTGGGGAGAAACCAATTGTGTATGCATTGTCTCGTGGGGCTCTGAAGCTCTGCGGTTGTACTGCACAGTAGGTGCCTTGGCAATCCCCAGACAAGCTATTAGACGCGCTGGATAAACCTGAAGTAAAAGCGAAGGAGATTGGAAAAATAAGGATGAGAAATTGCTGATGCAGGTATTGCTTTAACATCATTTATCATTTATGTCATTCTGGTAAATATTTATGATTAATTTAGATGTCAAACTTTGAGAATAAAACTCACTTTTTAGCCTTGGCTGGAAGGTGCTGAAGTTCTTCCTGCCTCCATCTCCACTGATGTCAGAGTCGCTGTCATTAAAGTCACTGTCCCCTTTGCCGCTGTCCTTCACGCTCAGCTGGTCCGTGTTGCCAATGCCGCTGCAAATACAATCAACAGATACAGTATGAGCCACCAGTGCACCACATTAGCTTGATTATTGATGTCTTTTTTCCCCCCACATACAAGGCCTGCCTCTATCCTCCCCATCTAACCTCATTCCACTGGAATGCCACAAGCGACAAAATGTATGCGGGGTGCATGTTAAGTACAAGCTGTGTGTTTTTGAGCAAGATTTGACTGTGAATAAAGCACATCCTATCTAAGGAAATGAATTCTATTTAGTTGTCTTACCTCACTTGTAAGCAGTATTTGTCACCTTGCCACACAGATGCCGCCTGGAAATGCTTGGAGGGCAGGAACATCTAAAGAGAACAAACAAAATGACAGCAAGAGAGCTTAGTTTCCATTTCTGGCACAAAGATCAAGCCAGCTCTCGGGAAAACATGGTATGCATATGAAATAAAAAAGATGAAAATAATACTTGTGTAGTTGCCTCACCTTTGTCTCCGAGTCTCCACTCCTCTCCTCATACATGCAGGATTCATCCAAAGAAGAAGAGGTCCTCTCATGGAAGAAGGCTCTCTGGCCGGTGTAAATGTTGGGTTCAAGGCCCAGCATGGGTAAGGGCCTTCTGTCAAACAAGCTGTGACACACTTCTCTCTTGGAGCCCTGGTTTCTTCCCCCTCTGCTGAGTTTGCATGTGACAACAACAACCACTATGGCAATCAGCAACAATGCACACCCCCCGCTGAGCATAATAATAACAATTAGCGAGCCATCCAAGCTGGGGCCCTCTTCATCGCTTGACCTTAGCACAATGACGACTTGGTCTTCAGAGGGCTCTGTGTCTGAGACGACAAAGCGAATTGTGGCGCTGCTGGAAAGCGGGGACCTGGCATTGTCACTCACTGCGATTTTTATTTCCAGCACGTCTCCAATTTCAGCTGTCAGCCATTGTTTTAGAGCAATTTCTCCCGTGTCTTTGTTCATTGTGAAAAGCTTCGGGTCACCTTGGACAATTTGGAATGAGAGTTCGCCATTCACTCCCTCGTCTTCGTCTTCAGCTAAGACTTTCAGGGCCAGGAAGCCGGCAGGTGCGTTAAAAGGAAGAGGGATATCAGCAGAGTCGTTCACAAGAACTGGGAATGTGAAGTATGGGAAGTTGTCATTGAGATCCACCACTTTGATCCTGATTGCTGAGGTGCTGGAAAGAGAAGGGGAACCTCTGTCCTCAGCGAGGATCACCAACTCGATCTGCTGCAGAGTCTCATAATCGAAAGACCTCAAAGTGTACAGAGACCCAGACAGAGAGTCCACTGAGACATAAGTGGACAACATGGCTCCACCTTGCACCTCTGAGTCTATGAGTTTGTAGGAAACTTTAGCGTTTTTCCCCATGTCAGGATCTCGAGCAACAACAGTAGTTACGTATGAACCTGGGATATTATTCTCCAGGACTGACACTTCATAAAGAGACTTACTGAAGAGAGGGGGGTTGTCATTCTCGTCTGTTACCCTGATGGTGTACTGTCTGACAGTTTTGAAGGGCGGGCTTCCAACATCTTCTGCCACCACAGTCAGGTTATACTCAGGGATCTTCTCTCTGTCTAAAGTGGTGCTGGTAATGATCATAAAAGAGTCTCCATATGCTTGTTGGAGGGTGAAATGCTCGTGCCCGAGCAGGCTGATGCGCACGTACCCATTGGAGCCAGAGTCTCTGTCCGAAGTGCTGATGAGAGCCACAAAACTGTCTGCAGCTGCAGCTTCTGTGATGTAGGCGACTCCATCACTGCTGGAGGTCATGGGTTTAATGCTGATTTCAGGCGCGTTGTCGTTCACATCAACAATATCTATCACAACTTTGCAGCTGGATGGCACGGGGTTGGCGCCCAAATCTGAGGCTTTGATGCTCAGCTCGTATGATCTCCTTTTCTCAAAATCAACCAGCGCTTTCAAAGTCACATCCCCGGAGTAAGGGTCGATGTGGAAAACACGTGCAACCTCTGCTGAAACGCCGTCATCAAATGCGTAAATGACCTCGCCGTTCTCGCCATCGTCGGGGTCAAACGCGTGCACTCTGAGAACCCGGTGGCCCACAGGGGAGTCTTCATTCAGCTCCACTTTCAGAGAGCTGTGCTCAAACGTGGGGCTGTTGTCATTAAAGTCCAGCACTTTGATGTAAACAAGCATTGACCCGGACTTTGCAAGCACTCCTCCGTCAGTTGCAGTAACTTCGATCGTGTAGGAGTCCTCCACCTCCCTGTCCAGCTCGCGCACGAGCACGAGCTCAGCGAACTTCACTCCATCCTCCCGATCACGCACCTCAATGGAAAAGTGGCTACAGGGGGAAATATTGTAGCTCTGGATGTAGTTTTCACCCACATCCTGGTCCAGAGCAATCTGCAGGGGGAATCTTGAACCCAGGGGGACGTTCTCCAAAATCTCCAGGTTGGTCTGATTGTGCGCAAAATGAGGAGCGTGATCATTGATGTCTTTCACCTCGATCTCTACGTGGATGAGCTGGAACTTTTCTTTGGAGAAGGCCACAATGTCGAAGGTGATGAAGCATCGCGGAGACCTGGGACAAAGCTGCTCTCGATCAATGATTTCTGCCACACTCAAAAGTCCGTCTGTTTCCCTCATTTGAATCAAAGAGGAGTTGTTCTCTTGCATGAAGCGGAACGACGTGTCAGGATCATCAGCTGGATCGATTTTTAAATCTTGCGACAAATTTCCAATCTCAGTGCCCGGTGCATCCTCTTCATAGGTGAAATACCTTGTAGTTGTGCACTGAACTGTGCAAAAGAGAGCAAACACAGTGTACAGTGTAAGTCCTGATGAGAGTCCCATGTTGAGGGGTTAAAAAGTGCTGCGCCACAAAGTCATAAATGGAGCAATCAATCCAGCTCCCGTGCAATGACAAGTCCAGTCACAACTGTGTCAAACTCACTTTGCAGTGGGCCTTTAAGCCCCTCTCTATGCAAATAAGCTGCCCCCATCGACCAATGGCAGGCCTGCTGGTGGTCCACCAACAGGGCAACATTTGGCTCTGCAGCAAACTGTTGTCCTCTTGTGTATGCAAAAGGTTTGTTAGATAAACTGATTGTGAAGCTTTAATCTACTTGATAACAGCCTTAGTTAGAATAAATCCACACAGAGTAATTAATTTACCAACTAATTTACTTGGTCTAATTTAATGAGACTGAATGTAAACAAAATAAGTTTAAGTCCACCTGCTGAGAACTGGAATGATTGATTGGGTATTTTCAGTCAAATAAAAAGAACTATGTAAAAAGTCTGGAGATGAGGGAAACAAACTAAATGTCAGTGCTGGCATAATTGCAGGTAATTGCCACAAAAGTTAACAAACCCTCCAATATAACAAAAAAATAAACTTTCATAAGGACCAGTGGTTTCCGATTCTTCTGCTTTGCTGCAGGCGTCCTCCACACATCGTTTTTTTTTTCTTTTTGTTTAACTTTCTGTTGAAGCATCAAGATGTAAAAATATTCCGTTGTAAAAGTCATGCATTCAGAATTGCTCTTACAGGTCAAAATGAGAGCAGCAAATAGCTGCAGTGTACTTAGAGTATAAAAATAAAGCACAAGCGAGGCAGAATGAATACTTTGGCAATTTTCTTTTGTTGCTGTAACTTCTTTAGAGAATTTTAATGCTATAGCCGGTCAGAGTGGAGCGAGAAATGGACATTTTAAAATCACATAGTTGAATTTAATGTGTTTGAATGACAGATAATGTTTCGAAAATAAGCAAAAGGACTTTATTTATAAGTCTAAGTGGCATAAAATGAGCACACTTAATGCCCATTCACTAAAATTGCCATTTAATGTATGTGCTTAATTTCCTTCCTTCATCAGGTAGAAGCAATAGAAAACACAAAAAGGAGGCACCTAATACAAAGCCTGATGATTACCATTGTTATTCATATACACCTATAAACACACAGTCTTCTTCACCCTGACATTTAGGAGTAATAAAACCTGTACTATTATCCATAAATATTTATCATTTTAGCACTTTTTCTTCCTTTAATCACATCTGTCTATGTAAACATTGCCAATAAATAATCTGCATAATAAAGGAGCCACAGAAATCCCTCTGTCTGCTGTGTGGCAGCGGACGTCTCATCTGTTCAAATCGCAGAGGAGGAATTTCAATGTAAGGCGGAGAAGAAAAACCACAAAGCCAGACAAGTGTCATTTGATTAATGTTGTGTTTCGGACACCCACAATGTTAATTACACAAAGAATATTATTGCTGCTTGGTGTGTGAGGAAAATACGCCCTGCATAATCAAGATCATCCACATTGTAATAAACAATCAAATGCACTTAATTCACCCTTTTTTGAAACAATAGTTCCAAAATGAGAGCCTCTGAAGTGAGAAGAATAGAGGAGTCAGGAGAATAAACTACATTGAGCGATTCCCCCTCCTACTTCAGACACACAAACACAGACACACACCAGCAGCAGCTCCCATAGTGATAACAAAAGAGCATGAGTCAAGCAGACCTTTGTCAACCATATGGGTGATTAGCTTCTGCTGATTAAAAGGCGTCTCGGTGGCTTCAAAGGGCTCTCGACACGTCACAAAAGTTTGAGGTAAATCTGTCTGAGCCCCCAAGTGGGCACATATAGGGAGGTGTTAAAAATCACACAATGAGCAGACACACAAACAAGAGGTGCTGGAGATACTGTGTCAGGAAGAGAGCACACAGCACCATGTTTTTTAGCTTAATATATTAAATGTTCACCTATCTAGCTGCCTTTTGCTGAGAACTGATCTTTTATGCAGCCTCAACAGAGTAAGGAAGGAAGTCCAGATGTCCTTCTCCAAAGCAGCAGTCTTCAACTCTTCTTGAGGGATCCTGAGGTGTTCCCAGGCCAGATGAGATATATTATCTCTCCAGCATGTACTGGGTCTACCCCAGGGCCTCTTAAAAAGTTGAACATACCCAGAAAACCTTCAAAGGAAAGACGCCTGAAGGCATCCTGATCAGATGCCCAAACAGCCTCGACTGGCCCCTTTTGATGTGAGGGAGCAGCTATCTCTATGCATCTATAGAGAGATCACCGACTGAACCAAGTCACTTTATGGCCCCTTGTAGCTGCGATCTCATTCTTTCACTCACCATTCAAAGCGCCAGAGCAGAGGTGAGAGTTGGAGAGTGGACCAAGTGATGCACTGCGACTTTGCTAAAAGATTAGCCCCTTATTTTACACTTTTAACCTCTACAAGGCCTGCAGTTGCAATAGCCTGCTACTCCGAAACTTTTCAATTCCCTTGTTCAACAACAAGACCCTGAGATGCTTGACATTTGAGGAGCAACTTACTTACAGGGGAGCAACAGCTTGTTGTTTAACCCCTTGAGATAAAAAAAAAAGTTGAACAAATTGCAGTTGGATAACTCACCATGACATACCTGGTCCTCCTTTACCACATCTATCTCTCATCTCTTTAAACCTGGATGTCACATGTGCAAAAAGACATCTGATCACATGTGGAGAAAATGTCTCAACACATAATAAATACTTCCACTAACCAGAAGTAGCCTACTGAATGTCTAACACCTTTTTTAAATCAGTTTTCAACCAACATCAGCATGCCAGGAGGCATTACCACAGTCATTCAGCAGCTAAACGTAGAATCAGGTCTATGCAGGGTTGCAGTTCCATCACATTTTATTTTGCATACAAAAATCATAAACAGAGATTTATTGGGTGTGTTATGTTAACAAGAAGGTTCTAAAACATCATGAAGAGAGACGATCTAAATACCTCCCTCAGGAGAAGGGAGCAGAGCAGCAGCAGCAGCAGCAGACTGCGCATGTGCAGGTGCATAGGGCTTAAGTGCAGCTCTGACTACCTGCGTGCTGATGTAGCCGGCTGATACCTGGAGGGAGGGGGAAATGGAAGAGAGCTTAAAGTGATGAGTGTTAAACACAAACACAGGCAGTTGAGAGGTTGATTCCTACTCTGTTCTCCTAAGCTTTTTTTGTTTGTTTGTTTCGTGGCTGTGATGCTCAGTCATACAGCCATTTGAGCCACATATTATCTGGTACTTGAAAATTGCTGATACAAATCATGTGGCGAGAGCAGATTCCCTGGAGAAATCTGCGCATGATGGTTTATTCAGCATCTTCAGATCATAAAAGCTTCTCTTTACAATCATGTTAAACTTCTTTTCGTGCACACTGGGTCGGTACTCTGTATGAAACATGGGCTGTGTGATATCAATCATCGGTTTCTTGGGAAAAAGGTTTGACATTTTGCCTAATGATGTCAGCCATCATGTTAGATAGAGATTTTGATTTAGCTTAACAACTCGCAATAAAAGTAAACACAAGCAAAGAACAACCCGCCCACCTTCCAGTCAACAAAGCTGCACAAATGTATGCCTGACTTTTAGCCTTGACAGAATCAAAATGCAAGAGTCAAGAGAAATTTCCATCTCCATGCAGTGTGAACTAATAAACGAATGAGCTACATGCCCAAAACATTATTTTTAAACATTTACAGCTCAACTGTAAAAATTGGCCTGGACCTAATGGGATTTTATGGAGGAGTTGCAGTTTGGTTGGTCCACAGGGAACAGGGTTTTTAATACTCCTCTTGGGAGACCTGTTAAGCTCACGTAAAACTGCTATGTGCAACAAATACAATGACGTGTGAAAACCTTTTTTTTTTTTTTTCTTGTAATACCAGAGCATCCACGACCTTATGTATGTCCCAGATTTGGTGATATGACTCAAAAGTAGGTCATAAATCTTAGGCCCAAGGTCTTCTGGTATCAAGCACACTTATGATGAATCACCCTCTGGCTCCTTGCTTGTTCTGTTTTTAGGACCAATCCCAGCCTAACACACACGCTTAATAAGAAAACAACACTTAGATTCAGGTCCATGCGGCAGCTCCATTTCAGTATTTGTAGAATTCAATTTTCACATAATGTTTCTATTCTTGGTTCTAATACCAGACACGCCGACTGCAAAACAAACTGTTAGAACATTTTCCAGAGTAGTGGGCCAATTTATAATGTATGCTTTTGAAAGCTGCAGTATTTACATATTGAATTTGGAACGTGCCTCAGTCGAATCACATTACAGTAGGCACAGATGAGTTTGTTCTCATATCCACGAGGCACAAAACCAACAAGTGGTTTCCCTTCCCGCCACACAACAAATCATTTAAGCGAGTGTTGTTTCTAGCTGTGTGTGTTAAAGCAGGCAAATACAAAAGCTAACTTCAATTATTAATCTTGGTGGTGTGAGGGTACTGTATCATTTCTGTGGCACAAAATCTTCAGAGAGGAATATGTGGATGATGAAGCGAGCGCACACATGACATGCTCCATCTTTTCCCTCATAATCTGGTCTTTACTCGGTTAATTTTGCTCTTTCTCTTTATCTCTATTGTCAACCTTTATTAAAAACAAGCTCACGCTGAACTTAGGAACACCGAGCCACGGGGGGGATCAAATGCAAGATACTTCTGTGCCATTACCAGACGCACAAAGCCTCCATCACAACAGTCCCATGCTGGCTGAGTGTTAAAATCCAGGGTTTTATGGCTATGAGGAGTCAGGAAGTAATGCAGAATTATTAGCCAAATTAGTTGTTTGCCACTAAGAGGATTACGCTTTAATCTTATCAAATGTCTCACGCACTTACCACTTTGTGTTGCAACCGGTTTAAGCCAACAGCTGAGCAGCTGTACATGACATCATTTCAGAATAAAAGCAAAGGTCTAATGATAGTTTTTTTTTTTGCTTGATACTAGGTTGTGTTTGAGTTAACTTCCTTGACATACATTATGACCCACTCACGTCTGAAGTGGGCCTTTTTTTCCCCTATCGATTTGCAGTAACAAGGTCAGAAGAGGTCCGACCACAAACAAAGCCGTGCTAACACAGGAGTGATACTTGTTTGTCACTTAAGTCAGGTGATTAATGCAGATCACGGCTTGATTAAGACGTGTGTGGTGACAGTAAGAGCATTACAGCAGATTAATGGCTTTGGCCATCTGTTTCTCCCACAGAGGTGATTTTAATTAATGGTAAGAATATTGTTAATCTCGCCTTGGCGGTAAACATCCCAGGAAGAACAATAGTGGACAGAAATTAGTCTGATCCAAAGCCTCTGACAGTTTTTTTTTTTCAGTCTTTTCAATGATTGTGTCTTCTACAGCTCACAGGCCATCAGGTAGGGAAGCAGGAGGAGCATTTGGTGACACGGGGAGCAGTAATCCTGACATATGCCTCAGGGAACAAATGTGTCAAAGGCCTACCTTTTGGATAACACCTTGCATGACACCAAGTGCTGGAAACCCCCTCCTCACCCCTCCCTTTTTTTTTCTCACTCAAAGTTTCCAGGTCCCCAGCTGTCAGTAAAATGTACGGAGTTAAGGTAAAATGCTAAAAAGATGTCAGAAATGTGGATTTGTTACTTTATATCATTTTTTAGTCAGATTTTGTCTCAGTGTGGAGATTTTATAACACAATAATAGCTTTAAGATGCAGTTAAAACCAAGTAAAATGGGAAAATCAGAGTTAAAGCCCCAAGTGTCACTGGTCTGAGTTCATCTATTGTGAGCTATGCTTTATTCAAAAGATATATTTGCTGAAGGGATACAGAAAATTGTTAAAGGCACTGTTTTGGTTAGTCTAAAATTTGCCAGTAAAATATTTGCAGTTATGGTAAAAGGCTGAAAATATTTTCATAAAAATGCTATTTCTTGAATGTTGATAGGATTTTACAATCTGTTGTTGTCTCACCATCTGTATTTTTTAACATCCGGAATGGTTTTTAGATAGTGATTGCCAAATAAAGTGTCAGAAATAGTGTTAAATTTGTGATTTTGGTTAGTTGGAGTCCTTTTAGAAACTTGATCATCTGCCTCATTATACTCTATGCACAAACTAAAGCACTGATTCAAAAGATTCAACATGCATATTGACGAAATAAGAAGAAAGAAGAGGGAGACACTGCTTGTGTATCCTTATAGATGCTGAACATTCAACACACACATACACAAAGAGGCTGCAAATACACATACAGTGCTCAGCATAAATGAGTACACCCCAAAAAACCTTTAGTTTCCTTTCAAAATCAACATTTTCTATGTCAGACTATACAACCAAGTACTCCCCCAAATGTAGGCCATTAATTGCAAACAAGAATTTAAAGTTGCATACAAAAAAGTATATATATTTTTCAATTTAAAATCAGGATGCAAAAATGAGTACACCCGATCAAAGTTCAAATTTTAGTTACCATATCACCCTTATTTTCATCTTATAGTAAATAAAATGTGATGATAAACTCAGCTTTGTCAAAACTTTGGAAATTGTACTTTTGCTCATCTAGATATTGATTAATACTTTACTTTTAATAGTGGATGTACGTACTTATGTTGGGCACTGTACATTCAGCCTTTGTTTTTGCCACATTATCAACAAGCAGAGGTGACTTCAAAAATGATCTATGATATGATATGTGGGATGGGATCAGTTCAGAAACAAGGACCCTATGGACATAAACTAATGGAGATGTCCAAGTGAGGAGGCTGTACATTGACTGTCCACATATAGGGTTAAGTGCCTTGCTCGAAGGCATCCAGCAGTGCTAGTGAAATAAAAATAAAAAAAACAATTGGCGCCTGTTCAACTTCCAGCTATTCTTTGGTATCTGTGGTTCCAAAGCCAAGTCCCCACAGACTGAGCTACAGGCGCCTCTAAATACAGATAATTGTGCCTCAAACTAAAACTGGACCGAGAACAAAAAACCCCAAATTGTTCTGGTCTCAGGATGACAACAGATGCTAATGTGTTACATGTTACACCCTCTCCCTATGTGGCAGCTGGGACATGCTAACTCTGGGGTCGCATGCTTTTACACATCCTGCATGCAGCATTATTTAAATATTTAAGAGCTCCACTCCTCTTAGGTCAGTGGATCTGCATTAATGAAAGGTTTTTACTCTCCGATACAAACATCACAGCACAATCCTTTTACAGCTTCATACTGACTTTTACAAAAACACAAAAAGCACTCGAAATTGATCATACACCTACACTGCTGTGTGGTATGTTTTACCTCAGTCACACTGACTGGGCCACCCACACACCACAAACGTATACTGAACTTTGTTAAAAGGTGTTTTATTCTGTTATCTTTTCATGACTAAATCAATCAGTTGGCTACTTTGAACCCGTTTCTTTGTATTTTGTTGGAGTTGTTGTGTTTGGAGAAAAAAGACAACAGTATTGGGACCATGATGACCCCATTCAAAAACACTTGATTCTGCCAGTGCAGTTTTAATAGATGGAACAATTTATTGAGTTCATGTTTGCTCTGTGACCTAATTTAAAGTGTCACACACTGTGTGGGGGGAGTACGGGGGCACTCTGTCAGTCATTCTGACGGCAAAAAAAAAGATGTCGTTGACAGATTTCCACATTTTCATGCCATTTCTTTTTTTTTGTCAACCAGTATGCAAATGAAGCACAAGTCTTCAGCAATAATAATTATCTGTTCCTCTTATTACATCACTAATGGTGTTTTAAGAAGAAATAAGTATTTTTTATATGATGGATGTGTCTTAGCATAGTTATTCCAAGACCAGTTGCTAAGTCGCTAAATTGAGTTTTTTTTTTTTTTTTTGGGGGGGGGGAACAATTCAACCTTGAAGAGAGATAGACTTGTATTCCTCCTTCTGAGTTTATTAAATTAAGATGGGCAGGGAGTTTTTGCTGAGGCCTGTAGCTGATCCAAGCTCTTCCCCTTATCAGTTTCCTCATCTCACTTTAACCTTAGGTGCTCCAGTAAAGTGGGGGTATACATGTCAGTGCCCCGGCCGTGGGGGTCATGTAGTGGGTTTAATCTGGGCCATTTGGGCTGTCTGAAAGGCAGATAAAACAAGATTATCCTTTGCTTGGTATTGGCCCTTTGGTGAGACGAGAGGGTGGAAGCATGTGAGCAACAGCAGCTGTGGAGGTGCCAAATACTCCGACTGGCTAGTGGTCCTTGTTGCTTTTGGCACCTCCTGCAGCGCTACAGGCGCAGATAACCCCCCAACCACAGCTCATCCTCACAGCTCTCCAACTGATTACAACTGGCCAAATGTTTAACATACTGTCCCTAATCACACTTAACATTCTGTCACAATATGCACCTAAATAGCTTTTAGGGCCATGTAAATCACAAAGGTGCTTGCAGCCTTGATGTTATTGGATGTAATTGTTTTTCTTCCTATGAGTTTCCATCTTCAGCTCTCTATCTAATGCATTCAGATCATTCCAGGAGGGATGAAAACTCTTTTGCATGTACAATATTTAGGACATGTGAGGGGGCAACTTAAGAGATATATTTGTATTACAAAGTTGTATTATGTAAATACATGCATAACATAAGAAAATCATGAAGTGCCTTATCTTTTTATGATAAATTAATTAGTCTATTAGGGGCCCAGCATGAATAAAACAGTGCTTTCCTATAATAAGATCTCAGTAGACCCTACATGTTTTAAACAAATCCAGAACATTAATATGGATGCCGTGTAAACATGTTTCTAGGATTTTTTCATGTTGGCCACAAAAGGCTGAGTCTATTAAGAAATTTGGAGAGACAGATTTTGTTGTTTAAATCTCCTAAAAGCCGAGGCAGATCAAAAGAGGCATTAGTATTCAGAGACAAACCATGTTTGGCTGAGGTTCCTCTCCCCCCCTACTCAACTCCAACCATTCCCCACTGTGTAACTAATGCTCGCTGCCTGAAAACCATTGGAACAACAGTTGCTAGCCTCACTTCATTATGCATAAGCATTTTTTTGATAAAGCTTTGACCATATGAACAAACAGGTATGCTAACAGTGTGCACAAATATATTTGTCATTTTGATTTAAGGGATGAGTGGGAAAGGAAAAATACTCTTTTGGTACAGTTGAGAAAATAGCTGCTGAAGAATCTGAATGACAAACAAAGCAAAACAGGGACTGGAATTGAAGCCAGATATTCCAAAACAGGGAGTCGACCCTGCAGGTTTGGATTAAAACCAGGGATGAGAGTGCCATCTACAGGTTGATACTCTACTCTGTTGGCACCCTCTCCATGCAAATCCTAAAAGCATTCTTCTTTTCCAAAATATTTTTCACACAGACACAAATAATTAACATTTTTTCAACCAGAATATCTCTATTTGCACCGCCTATTTAAATAAAATTGTAGTCTGAAGGAGGATCTGAAATAAGCAGATATTTAACAACCTCATAGTACCTCAAATCTGCTTCCTTCCTCCCAGGATGAAGTGTGTCCTGGGTGCAAGCTTTACACTCTCTTTTGGTAAAGGATCCACCATGGGTTTCGGGCCAATTATCACGACTACATCATATTTCATGCTTCATATTGAATTCCACCGCCTTAAGCTACATGGATGCAGGCTCCAAAAGATCAGCAGGCCTGCACATTAACCTCCAGTGATATTGTGCGTGTGATGATTGCAGGCTCATATTTGACTTGACGTATCCTCATCCAACTTTCACTTTGATTTTCATTTTCCACATCACTGCTGAACTGGTCACTGCAGATAATACGGCGCTGGAAATTCCCTTGTTTTAGTGCCTTTGCGGCGACGGATGTGCACTTTAACAGTCCGTAACCACATAGCCTGTAAGCTGTTTCTATATCAGGTGTGCTAAATAAGAATTTGGTTGCTAGTCCAGGCTGTGAATAAATTTGATTCCCTCTTAGACTGTAATATCATTCAAGGCAAGGAAGATTAAGTGTAGCCTTCTTGCTTGTGTGTACATGTTAAAATGTGTGTTAGTATATTTATACGTGCTCCATGTGTGTGAGTGCGTCAGTGTGTGTGTGGATGCTAATTTGAGCCTTTTCAAGGACCAGGTCCCTCTCCTCCTGCTCCTTGAATATATTTCACATCTCCATATTGCCATCCTCGAATGTCGCCTCCTTGAAGCAATTTCCTCTCAGACATTATCTGATGGCTGAGAACTGCTTCCCATTGGCAGGTGCATGCAACACTTGGGCCGGGCAGGAGCTGGCTGTTAAACGTGGGACTGGCTCCTTACCAAGCTCCAGTCTGCCTGGCCCTGACAGCCCCCACAGGGCCGGCCACTGGGGGCGGACTGTTGGGCCAACTGGCCACGGAGGGGTGTAATCACTCCCTCTGACATATTTGGCTCACGCTCTCCATTTGCAACAGTGAGGCCTGCATGAGCAGCTTGCTTAATCCTCTTAGGCCAGGAGATGGCAACATTGAGGTGGGAGATACACGTTGGAAACCAGCAGCTTTGTAATGCTTCATATAGTCTAAGAGTGTGAAGATAAGGGAGATAAGAGAGGATTCAAGAGTCATGACAATTTATGTAAACCCCATGAAATAAGCCGCTCAAATCCACAACTGAAGAGGCTATCTCAAACTTCTGTGATGGATTTACATTATTGGTGAAATGGGGTATTAGCTGCTGTTTTGTTCACTGAATAACATGTTATCTGACGAAATAAAACTATAAAACATCAACTAAAAATCACACCAATAAGTAAAGATGACACTTTTTAAGCTCCACAAAGACAGCATGCCGCCTGTTGCAGAGCTAACACAACTAATTGCACGATATGTATCCATAGGGGGCACAAACACTGTGATTTCAGTATGCAGCTGTTAATTTTCTCTCAATACTACCATCCTGTTCATAACCCATATCAATGTCTGTGATATAATGTGCAGCTGAAAATGGTTCCTAGCAAATGTATTCCTGGTAGAGCAAAATGTGCAGGGAATAACATTACTATGCTGCTTAATTGACTTGTTAAGCTTTATGTTTTTAATAAACTTATGTGTTATTCTTTATACACTTCAACAATGAGACTCAGAGTGCCATATCCTGTCTCTTGAGATTGTGATAAAGCAAACTGTAACTATAACTGCGGATTAATCTGTATCTAAGAAAAATAGAGACAATTTAAAGCTGAAACGTTATAAAATTCAACGCAAACAAGAGGGTACTGACTCATAGACACAAGCTTCTTCAAATAGAAATGGTTCAAGATGCAGAATAGAGGCGGCACTCCCTTTTTCTTCTGTCTTTGCTCATAAGGCTTTACAATTAGGAATGCAAAATTGCATTAAGGCGCTGAAGAGGATGCCTATGGTGTAAAGTGAGTTTGTGTGTGTGTGCGTGTGCAAAAGTGCACGCTTGGAGCAGAGAGATAGATTAATGTGGAGGGGCATCAGCTTAGGGGATGTTTTGTTTCCCTACTGTGCACCAAGTGCAGAGGGGAGTTAAGGGATTCCAATCTGGTCGTCGAGTCCCGCGGTGCGAAGAATGTTTAGAGTGTGCTTGGTGATAGCGGACTCCATTACGGGGCTGAGTCTCAGGGTAGCCTGCCATTGTGCCGGCAAGCGTGGAGGTTAATCAGATCCCGGCTCCATTATGAATGCTTGCTATTTCTAAAGGGCTCTATGAATACAATACTGTAAGCTGTGGTATAAATGAATCTGTGCTGTGTGCTTTCACAGAAAAAAGGCCTGATAAAGACGAGTGTTGGTGTACTTTTGAAGAGATTCCACATTCTCTAGAGCAAAGCCAAATGAGTGTTTTAATGTGGGCCTAGTTATTAATTATCAGAGATTAAGAAAATCTCTTTGCGCAGCAATGTTTCCTGCATCTATGTTTGCTGTAAAGGGAAGATTATCTTAATTGATTTTTTTTTGTGTTAAATTAATTTCATATTGAGAGCCACTGACATTTGCATGCATGAATACTTATCATACTTTTAAGGCTTTCTTTTGTTTTAGCTAATTACTTTTTAGGATTTTTCTTCTGTGATCAGGCTTTAATGTCTAAGTAGCTCAATAAATGGCTCTGTTGGAAGCGGGACCTTGATTTCAACCCTCCGTGTAAAGCAACACACATTGACAGCAGGCAGGCTATGTTTGGCAGACTCACTGGATGTGGTGGTGTTTGCTTCAGGAAGCTGAAATGCATGAAACTCCACGGACCATTGGTAAACGGAGGTACTGAACTGTTGATACCACCATCAACTCTGTAGATCCTTTGGATAATGAATAGTAATGGTAATGCACACTTGATGTTCCTGCATCCTGCAGACTTTTAAAAGTGTGTAAATCAAAGCAAAGTGTGCAGTTCCACTAATGGCCACTTGAGGCTGGCTCCAAAAGCAAGTCCAGTCCCATATACTTCCATATAAAAGTAACCAAAATGTACAGCAGAATTAAACCTGATTTCAGTCAGGTGGAAATGAAGATTTTGGTCTATTCCGGACAAATCTAAAGAGACTGAATTATGTTAAGTCTCAAAATTTGTCCATTTATGGTTGAACATATTCAATGCATGGACAGTGCAACCTTTGATGCGGTTTCAGAAGAAGACCTTTGAAGCCAAATGATGGTCACCATATCAGGAATGCTAGCTCTCAGTCAGCCTAGAAGCAGAAAATAAAAGTGGAGCTGAGGTAGACCTGAAGCCTTTAGATAAACAGCCATATTGCATCAACTCAGCTGCAACCCTGGTCCTGCAAACCTGTGCATTACTCTTAGTCTGGGGAGACCATATGTCCTCTTTTACCTGGACATGTCTTCTTTTTTGGGGGCTGTCCAGCCTTGTCTGGCTTTGTGCCACATGGACTGAGTTAGAAGCGCGTAAAAAACGCTTGATCCAACCCGAAAAACTTTCAAAATTAACTACACGTGACTCCGAGACTCCTCTTTTTGGGGATTCAGAATATGGTCACCCTATCTTAGTCTTAATATAACTAAATAATTTAAACTAGTACTAGTAAGTATTTTACTGAATTTTCCACCTGAGAGACATGAGATATACAAACAAAAACCTCTTTTTTAGACACAGCTTTTAACACATTTAAAATATGCTGCATAAATGAGCATTTTGATATGGCTGTCAACAAGGATTCCTTTGCTTTAGAAGCCTGCCCCCGGTGGACACTTGAGGAAACACACTTTTCTGCAGTTTGGTGGTTTCATTTCTGCAAGGGGAGACTTTTGCTTCATCAGCTGTTGATCTTATTGTTCAAGGTGTTGGTGCTTTGAGGAGATTTTTCCAATTTCATGGGACATACTGCTCGGCTCAGTTACTGTAAATCTTGATATCAGGTTCCAAAAATAGTCCAGATTTTGTTGTGGAGGCTGTAATTGGCCATGATTATAATATCTATATTCTACATGCCCTAGTTTATGTTGTTCTCATACCAAGATATGTTCAGGCAGGAGCAAGCACACTACATTTCACAGACTCTGTTAGATTCTTTAATCTTATTCATGAACAAGCCCTAATACCACAAATAAAACAGTACACTGTCGTAAACAGATGGTAAACTAAGTTATGCACGCTATCAAATTAGCCAAGAGCATAGACTGTATAGCTTTGAGAGTATGGTGATTGCTTATCCTGCGCTCTTCCCTTGTGTTTCCCTCTTGACTGAACATAGTTTCTTCCATCCTGCCATCCCTCCATCATGGCAACAGACAAAATACTAAACCTAAAGCTTCAGATAGAGAATAAACAAACCGATGGTGGACACCACACTGGCTAAAGGTTTGAATAATTGATGATCAAGCCGGTATTGGGCATAATGGAAACATGTAAAACCTTCAAAGTTTTGCTATGTTTACCATTTGATTTGTTCAGTTTGAGTTGGTTAACCATTTTCAGTTCAAATCAATGATTAACTTGTCCGCCTCTTTTCATTCCTATTAAAACAAGAGGGCATACCATTAAATTGGCTGCTTTCAAAGTGAAAGAACAATTCTAAATGTTAATACAGATAAAGATGTACCATTTTCAAAAATGGAGATGAACACAAAACCTGTTTTTCAGTAAAAATTCAAGCAGAGATTCAGTTCTCTGCCAATGACTAGAACACACTATAACAGTGGCAAAAAGAGCGGGAAAAAAACAAAAAACTACAACTGCCTGATATACAGTTCACATTTCCTAGGATTTGTAGAAAATGTGACGTTTCTGTGAAGGCACAGAAGCTAAAATTTAACTAGGCTTTGCAGAACAACAGAGAACTTATACTGGAGGAAATGCGCTAACAGGCTAGACGGTCCTATTCTCAGCAAAGAGGTATTTAAGTACTGAAGATGAAGTGAGATGGAAAATCTCATTTCCATAACAGAACAGGGGAAACAGTCTGGCAGAAGGTGTTTTTTTTTTTTTTTTTTTCCTGTTGAATTGTCAGAGCAATCATGGCCAAGACACAGCCAGGGCAGCAGAGTAAAAGGAGTGGGGGGTGAGGGGAGGGTGAGGGTGGGAGGAGGGTTTGAGGGTTGAGCCCTCATTCCCAAAACACATACAAATGAACTTGAACAATCTCATGCTTGCACACACACTCACACAAACAGACTCACACACAGCAGTAGATACACAGGGATGCACAAACAGTGCTTAGTCTCAGCGGAGCAGACAGTGAGCACATTATGCAAACAGAGGCTTTGTGTGTGTGGCGCTGAACGTGTCTGCATGCTGGAGAGAGAAATTAGGCTGATTAAAAATCAGGAAAAAAATCACAAACTGCTAGATGGATCTCCTAGGGGCTAATTAGTATGTTGAGTCTTCAGCCAAAAACAGACTTGTTTAACAAATCTGGAAATGTAGGTATATTCATGATTTGTTTTCTGAAATCTGCTTTAAACGTCGGACATGTTTACATATGAAATGCGAGGCGTAGAGATGCAGAAATGTAAAATGCATTTCAGCGAGGAGCGTTATTTCTTCCACCACACCATCTATTTCTTTGCCATACCAAAGCTGAATTTGCAATGCAAGCTCTTCTGTGTTCCTTTGGGGTACGACAGTTACTATAGCATGGAGTGGAGAGGAGAGTATGGATGGAGAGCAAGAGGTCAGCGGCTCGACCAGAATTCGATCAACTTTCATGTTGAAACCCAGGTAACAGCGGAGGACATTTTAGTGCTTCAGGAGCAGGAAATGAAGTATTGTTAGCATCTCCATTGTGCGTTATGCAACCGAACCACTGGAGGAGCCCGCAGGAGCAAAATTGAAATGACCCTCCTCACAAAACAGAATAAATATTTAATTCAAGCTGAAGAATAGACTATCCCAGACTGTTTTGTCCTTGACCGTATAAGCTGAGCCCTGAAGATATTAGTTCAAGGGAGGGTAACAAT